TTTGTAATAAATAGTTTGTAATTCCGAATTAACAACTTTTCATTAAATGCATACAGTATGAACGTGTATTCGGTACTTACAAAAAAAAAGCAAAAAATTAACCTATTCTTATTTCGTAGTCGGGGGTTAACATCTAGTCTTTAGATATAATAAAACCGTAAAATAGTAACGAGTAGAAAACTATGTGTTTATCTGTTAGTATGTTAATGTTTGACGTAAAAAAAAGTTATAAGTAATAAAATTTTCAAAGAATATGGTATATCGGCCTACTTATAAGTAGGTTTAAGAAAGTTGTGAAAAATACCCTCCAAAAGGACTAAATCATTAATTTGATTAATATCTTTAACAATCTTATTAATTGATTCATTAATCGAATAATATCTGGCGATGTACACTCTTAAGAAGGCATTACTAGTTTTTAAAAAATCAGTGGTGGACTTCATCAGATTTTTTAAGATAGAAGATATCCTATCCTTTCTTAGGATACAATCTATCTTCATGTCAAAATTCATTAATATCTATTCAGCTCTTAAGTTTGTGAAATAATCAGAAATATACAAACATACACACTTTCACATTTATATTAGTTTCTATGTTAATGTAATAAGGATAAATGTATTTATATACATTTTGGAACTTATTTGTCATTACTTTCCAACTTTCACAAGTCCATTTCTGTAGGTATACGAGTAGGTGCATTTAGTGACTGATGACTCAGTCATATTAATTAAACCAGCTTGGATATGCCCATGCGACAGCGCTGCGAAGTAAGATAAACATTACTAACTTACATACGACCTACGTTAAAATAATATTCATCAAAAAAAATTGAAAAAAAAAAACTACGGTATACTTTGGAGGAACTACTAATGAAAGATGATACGATTATCATGAAGTAAGAACCTAACATGGTACATTGCTAGCAAGGGTGGTACAATTTAGAAACTATTCCCTCTTCCCCTGCACAGGCTGGTTATTGATGCTAACTCGGTAATTTCAGAGTATGTATTGTGAAATATTTTAATAAAACAGGACGTCTAGCTTTTGTTATGCGCTTTAGCGTGGGTGTTGCAAAGCAGAAACGCATGCCATGGGCCACAATACGAAAATACTTTCACGGAAATAAATAGACTATAAATTTAAAATTGTAGTTGAAATAAACTTATATTTATATTGTGTGTTACACATAGAGTTACACTAATAACACCTTAACTTTTGGTAACTGGTAGAGAAGCTTGATGGATAAAGCCATCTATAACATCCCGTCCTTGCTATTTAATACGGGTGATGGGGCAAGTATTGATTAAGTACCTCGTATATATGTATTTAGATTCTTTTTCTGTTTTATAGGTACTTAGATAAAGTCGAATAAAGAACCCGAAAAAACCGACAGCAAAAAAAGTTGGCAAAAATTTAAATATATTTTATTTATTTATCGGTATTTTTTTTTATTGTAAACCCTATTTCCTATTTGGATCAATGACTAAAATCATAAAAAAAATTTCGTGAGTCATAAAAGTAATGGAGCACGTAGAGATACTTGCATGTCATAAGCTTTATGAATTGGTGTTAATTACCTGAAATGGGTTTAACACTATCTGAATTTAATTAACATTGCTGAAATATATTCCACGTAATTAAAGGGAATTTCGTTAATTATCGAGTAAATAGATATTGAATAACAATCTGTTATGTGTATATTTTTATAATCATCTATTGTGTGAAATTAATCGGATTAGTCTCGTAATTACGATGCCCTAGGGAAGTTTCTGATTTCACTTATTTCTTGTGTGGAATTTACTCGACATTTTCACAAAAACTGAAAGTAATCTTTTTATTTTAAATCGTAGATTGGCTTTTCCACTAATATTTCCATTTCCAAACTTTAGCCAAATCAGTAGACAATTTTTTTTAGCACAATGTATTTGCTTGCTGGTGCGGACTGTCTGTGTAGTGAACGTGATTGTAATTGTCATAGCTAACGCTCCGGCGGATTAGAATTATGAAAGCATCAATCTTGCTAAATCTGACCTCGTTATTTGCTATATTATTCATTAATTACAAGAATTGCTATGCTCTAAGAATATATGAAAATTATTATTTTTTAATTATTCATATAAAAAGATAAATAAATAATATAAAAATCAACAGTTATAGTGATTGTAGGTGCTATAGTGATTGTGATAATTTTTTTATTGGATGAATATATAATAGTACACCCGTTTGCGCTATATAATCAATACAGTGATGAATGATGAACACCAGGACTAATTATTATGGAATTTCAGAAAGGACCACGTGGAGAACCTGATAAGGATTTAGGTACATAGCTTGTAGCGCCCGGTTACCACTTCTCATTAGCAGGTTTTTCATCAGTCAGTCAGGTATTTCATCCACGCTCTTATCGGTGAAGCTCATACCAATTTCCACGTTCTTCCATCGTACTCTTTAAATGTCTGCAGTTACTTCCAGTTGTATAAAAAATAATTCTAACATTGAACGAATTTATTAAATTCCATATATAAATATCCCATTATGGGCACTAATATACAATTTTACTACAACAATAAATACCGTCCAAACTCAACAATAAGGAAAAGCGTGTTACAACCATATGCGCGTTAATAGTTCAATAATAAATTATGGTATAAACTTAACGTAAATCATATTTTAACCGTCCTGCTGAACATATAAAGAAAGTCGTTGAATGTTTCAGCGCGACCGTTACGGACGAAATACGCCCGTGTTCCGCCCAAAATACGCGGGTTGCGTCACCGCACTGAACTATTGCCCTTAATCGTGCACGCCATACGGAAATTACATGTAAAATAATATTTGTTTTAAACTTCATATTTTACCTTAGTATCTGGATCAACACACATAACATGCGGGTTGGTATTGTTTTCAACTCATACTAACATTATAAATGCGAAAGTCTGTCTGTCTTTACTATTTCGCGGCTAAGCTGCTAAACAGATCTTAATGAAATTTAACATCATAAGTTACATTGTAAAATACTTGTACCTTCATAAAATAATTTGGAAGGGGTGAATTCGTGGATGATTAATCTATTTTATGGATGATAATGAAATATGCACCCGCAATGCTAACAATTTACGCTGGCGGGGTACTAGAGGAAGATGATAAAATGAGCATAAAATCATCAGTCAGTTAGCCCATCTTGGAAATGTAACGTAATGTAATGGAATCATTTCCAAGATTAACCAGGTTAATTCCAGGTTAACCAACCCAGTAATGTGCATTAATAATAATGTACCATACATTGTTATTAATGCACATTACTGGGGGGAAGGGGTTGTTAGTAATCTGGACTAATGATCCCATTGCTAGCAATGTACCATGTCAGGACGACCTCCATGCGGTTCCCCCTGGAAACCATCTTGATAAATTCCCAGAAAATTTGTCAAGTTTTGTCACGAAAAAAATGCACATTACTAATAATCCCCCTTCCCCCTTTGGATGACAGATGGTGTAGAGGAAATTGTGGTTAACAACTAGTTTTATACAAAAATTTCTATAATTTTTTGCATATACTCTGTTAACTTTTGTCATTCTAAACAGAGTATAATTATTAGTATTTTAAATTACAGATTGTTGTTATTATTTGGGTGTATACAAATATTTATATTGCTAGGTTGCTAACCAGTATCAATAACAGGATTTGTTCTATTGAATTTTACCTCTTACTATTTTGCTTCACTAGACAGGCACTGAAAAAGATGTTTGTCAATGTAGCTAATTGTGGCAATTGGACAGAAGAAAACAGAACAACAGTAATTATGTAGTTAACACAAGTCACTATAAATATAGACAATCAAATTGTTAAAATTATTTAAGTGTTGGTTGTGACCAATGTAATACTCTTTAGTACACAATTTGTTTTCTGTCATTGGCATTTTCTCTACCGAATCAATTAATTGGTATATATATTTCTTGGAATTTGTATTTATTATTTTTATTAAAAAATACCAATACTCACATCTTTAATATAAAATCTACATTAACCTTTTCATAGAATTTATTATTATTCTAAATATTTTGCAATAGACATAGAAAAAGGGTTTGTGGTTTTTTTGCAACATTTGATTCACTCATTATTGTAATTAAACTTAATGTGTAATTTGAACAATAAATTTAGTACAAATATATATTATTATAATAGAAATAAGTATGAATATATGTATGAATATTTTTAATTTTACTTTCAAAATATATAAAATTGTTTAGATTAAGTACTTCTTTTTGATCATTACTTTAATTTTTAATACACAGAGTTAATGTATTTGGTAAAGTAAATTAATTTATAGTATGGTAATATATAGACAAGTTAAGTATGCACACAAGAATTTTATAAGGTTACGGTAAACTAGAGAATTCTATAAATAATAAACAGACATAATAATTGTAAACAACTGTTACAAACTCTGGCAATACTTTTAAAAAGTAGGATACTAATTTTGGAATAGCAAAATTGACAATCACAAAGAAATTAATAAAAGATTTACTCTATTTAGTTGAAATTTTGTCTATTGTACTTGAAATAATAATAACAATAACTCAGAACAATTCACACAGAGCCACCTAGTCCCAAACCAAGCAGACTTTACCTTTAAGTACTAAACAATTAAAACATTATTCTTTATTCATTGCTCAGTCCTCATAGTTTGTAGTTTATATACTGCGAGAATCAGAATTGCGACAATTAGAAGACAACGTAATAAAAAGCTAGATAACCGAGATTATTATCTTTAATAGTTTATTCAAAAATGTTATGTTATTTACTTAGATTTTTATGGGTAATTTTTGACCGATGCTGCTGTGAAAGAAAATTTATACTAAATCACTATGTTACTAGTTTCAAACATTCAGTAATGAATTAAATAATAACTACTAACGTATTATACTTAACACTTCAATGATTCTATACTTATATATAAAATTAAATTATATTTCGATAAAAAGAAAACTTCGGTACTAACCTGCTATTGCTGTTTAATAAGGTGGATCCACTGTCTATAAATTTTATAATAAATATTCTAACTACTTCACGATTAAAATTGATTGTTATATTAGATAATACACACACAATTTAATTCAATAAAAAGAACTATTTTAAAACTAATCTAAAAAATTAACGAAATATCTAAAGAACACAAATGGTAAAACAGGGAGAGACAAGGAAGGAACTAGTTATTTAATTTGCTAATTTTGTTTCGGTAACCGGTCCTGAAAACCAAAGACAATATTGAGTTCGTCATTTTAAAAAAGAAAGAAATATATATTTATTTGGCGCATTCAGTTTACAAATTAATTAAACAAATTTTTAGGTAAAAAATGACTAAAAATGAAAAGGCAGCGTCTACAGTTTGGTTATAATTATATGCAAAAAGTGTAAAATATCTATTACTGGCCATACTGAACCTCCTTTTCAATTGAAATAGTTTAAATTCATTGTTGTTTTGTATTGTATTATATTTTGAAAAATATGAGCAATATTTGTTTTTTTTAAAACCGGTGCTGTTTTTTATCGTTGTTACATATAAATATGAATGGTTTTAAATGCAGAGGAAGTCCGAAATAGAGATGAATGGAGTGCGAACAGGGAAGTATATTACGCCGACTCCAAATAAATGGGATAAGAAAGAAGCTGATGAGGTCCAGCACTACAAAAGAACGGACAAAATAAAAAATATTGTCTATATTTTTAAGTTCTCAAACTGTCAATGTCAAATATGACATCCGTTCTGTCAATTAAGATGTCAGTAACAATCAGTGTCACACAATACATTTTACATGTTTAGAATTCACAGCGTTTGTTATTTATTTTGTAAGACTATATACTTATAAATTGTTTTTTAATTTGTAAAATCTGAATGTAGTAATACACAACTTTTATATTGTTATCAGCTATTAAGATTTCAGAGAATGGAGGCAGATTCTACCACGTTTGAAAATACTACAAAAAATAATCAAGATGAAGATTTTCTACCTTTTACAGTATGCCCAGGGTATGTAGACTAGTAGTTATGTAGTAAAAATTGTGAATGGATGAGTTATCCTTATCTTATACGTAACTAACTAACACTAACTTATATGCTGACGGGACGCTAGTTGAGAATTGCAGAGTTACTTAACCAGGAAATAAATCTACCTCTGGAACCCGTCATGGGTTCCAGGGGAGGTAGGACAGACCGCTTGGCTCAACCTTGTAGGGTACTTTGCTGACAACAAGGTACTTTAATAGACCCTATTACTTACAATCTCCCCCTGTACTGATAGTTTCTTTATTTAACTAAAATATTTTAATTTCCAGCAATTTCAAAGTCTACAAAGAGTTCACAGGCAACAGTGGTGAAAAAAATTTAGAAACTCAAATAGTACAAAAACTGCAGAATATAGGTCTTCTTCCAAGAACCATTCAATGTCCTACAGCTTTACCTGACTGCAAAGTTGTATCTAAAGCTGCAAGAGTGATAGACAGGTAAAGAAAACAATTCAGTATCATCCAGCTATCATCACTGCTGCAAAATTTCACACTATGACAAAATTTGATTAATAACATTACTAATGAAATGGTGTCTCCATATATATTATTTTTATCTAAATATGAATGTCCTCTGAGCAAAATACCTAATACCACTTGTTTGTTCAAAGCTTCCAATATCCAGAGTAATAAGTATTACATTGGTTTGCTAATATGTATGTTGTTTTGTTTATTGAATTAAAATACCATAACTAATATATGTATCTATCATTTTAATATAATAAAGTTGACATTATTAATATTATATACATTTATATAATTAACATATTTGTGTAATCAAAGATTCTGATCTCATAGATATAACATATAAATGCTTAATTTAATATATTAAATTGACTTCAGGGTGCAGTGGGTGTGTCAAGGTTGTGGAAAGAGGCAGCCGATACGATCTGGTTCGTTCTTCATGAAACTTCAATGCTCCATCCTGCAGTCATTGCAAATGATTTTGGCGTGGTGTGAGGATGCTGATTGTGATATTGCAGCTGAATACTTCAGTAATTATGCATAATTATTATTTTTTTGATGATGATGATTATATTTTATTTAAACAAGAAAATAGGTATCTGATGGTAAATGGTAGTTTGTTTGTTGTTGGTAATTTCCAAAATATCACAAATTATTTCCTGAATACTATGGATATATAGGACATAAATAATAGTGTTTCAGTAGCAGCATAAAGCATAAAGCATTTTTATACTTACATTGTTGTTTTTTTAAATTTGACTTGAACATGTTTTAAGAGTAGAAATAAATGAAGTGAATGTAAATCTCTTTAATATAAAACTTTACATACATAAAAAGAAATGGTTAATTCCATGATGTAAAATGATTATAAAAATCTACCTGTAAATAACATTCTTCTTTAATGTCTACAACGTATTCTCTCAATGCTCTTTATTAAAAGATTTGTTTTGAATAATTTCCATGCTTGCACATCAAGTACAATAAGGTAAGTTTTAAACATAGGACAATAAACGAAATATAAATTTCTTGAGGATTTAGAACTATCTATACAATATTATATAAATATATACAAACCTTTTCTATTAGAATTTATTATATAATTATTGGAAAGTGTTAGAATTACGTAATATTCTCATTACGAATCCATATAAATTAATTAGGCTCTTAGTCAAGAAATAAGAAATAAGTTTTCCAGTTTGTTGAAAATTCTACCCAAAATTAACTAAAATATATTTGACACAAATAACTTTAAAAGTATATTGAACATAATTCTGCTTGTATAATATGTATGTGAAAAATGATATGCAAGTAATAATAATAATAATATTCTTTATTTGTCTCAAATACAAAAACAAAAACTTTTCACACAATACAACTGTTTCCCAAACAATAATATAATTTAAAACTAACGAATGAGACAAAATGGTCTATAACTCAGTGAGGGCAGTGAGTCCACCCTCTCTGCTATTCTGTTATAGCCTTTATCAGTAAAATAATACATACATACCTATATAGAAAATAATAAAAAAAATATTAATAAGAAAATAGTAGTAGTAGTATAATCAATAATTATAGTGTATAATATGAAATTCTCTCGATTGCAGAGGTAAAGCCAAAAGTAGCAAGTCAAATATACGACAGATTAGATGAGTTAGCTGTGCTAGAACAGAGCAAGTACGTCCTGGGTGGAGAGAACTCTGTTGTCTTGGCCGAAATGTATCCAGATTGTTTAAACCGACTGTCACCAGATACAACTGATCAGCCTCACGTCCATCGCATATTAATGCTTGCTGATACAAATGTAAGTTTATAAATACTCTAGTTTGTACCCTAGCTATCGAGAGAGTATTTTAACAGTAATATGTATAAATTTTATTCTTCTATTCTATATTCAAAATAATATTATAATACAAAGTGCTTTAAAATGTATTTCCCAATAAATTGTTTTCAAGATATTTTTATGACATATGTTTTACCACTAGCTTCTATTATTTTTAGTAGATAACCTATATATATATATATAAGGATGTCTCCTTAATATGAATATATACATATATAGGACATATATATATTTATATGGATAGGTTAATAAATTATAATTAAGAATAGTTTGTTTGAAAGGTACATTATTCCTGACATAATTTCCAAAGTTAGATGATGTTTGTTGCTTTAGTCTGATTCCATCCCTATGAATCCGAGGCTGGTTTAATTCATAAACCAATTAAAGACTTGTTAAAATATTTCTTAAACTAAATTGTTTAAAGCTATTATCAACATATTCATTTATTTAGCTCCATTATTAATAGTACTTTATGGATATTATCGTTTTCAGCATATTCCTACTCATTACCAACTATACGTTTTAAAAGATGATTTGAAGAAGAACTCAGTAAGCTGTACAGACAACCAGGTGAGTGGTAAAGTTAATTTATCTTTAACCAACTCCAAAAGAGAGATTCTGGAATAATGTGTATTTTTTTTTCAAATAATTCAAAATCGGTTTCTGTGTTCTATGATATATTAATCAATTGTAAACGGATTTATTGTTTGTGCTGGATATATGCTATTATTTGTGTCTCATGACACTTTCGTCACAATTGAGGTCAATTTTTAATAGACTAAAACTTTATTGCATTCATTATTATTGTAGCTTTGATCATATGTTAACAAATCGCCATGGTACCCCAAGCATACTGTACCATTAATAAGTAATCCAATGAATTATAATATTTTTACCCCTGGTTGAATTATTTATTATCTCTCAGTCACTTCCATGGAAGAATAGAATAGATAATTCTTTATTAAAATAAACTTCAAGACTTTTGAATAGCAATTAGATTACATGTATTATTTGCCTTAAAGATATGTAAATGGATGGTTATCTCTTCTTTCAATCTATCTATATTCACCCTCGTTGGGGTATATATATGTATACATATATATATTGCTACGAGGGTGAAGACATATAGGTAAGGCCTAGTGAGATCCTCTTTGCCCTGACGATTATCTCCAGAGCGACTATCTTCGGGTTTCTGAGTGGATAGCTGTAATAGCGTTTCTTTATAGTTGGCCTTTTCTTTTATTTAATTTCTACTTGTTTCAATTTACAGTCCTTGACAGCTGAGATAGAAGCGGCTGTGTCACGCGTGACGTCACCACAGTCGATCGTGGTGAGTGGTAGCAGTGTACCGCAACTGGCAGGCGCATCTTCCGTGCAACAGTTACTACAGCATTGCGACCCAGATATGCAGTATTTCTGTAAGTATTACTTTAATTCTTAAGGAAATTTGTAACTTGACATATTGACTAGACGTACTGCGACCTTCTAGTCCTAAACTAACATCAGTATATATATTATGATTACAAGACTAATCATAGAAATTATTGGATACATTTCTTTGCATGAACGTTTAATAGTTATAAGTTAAAATGTTTGTTTACATTTTTTGTAAGTAATATTAAAATGGGTATAGCCCGCCACAATGGTGTACTGACATTTAAGTATAAAGAGAGGATGTTTATTTATTTTTTTATTTAACATTCCAAATTCAGCTAGTACTCGAGTTTGTACTCCACAGAATATAAACGTAATCTTGTATCCATTATTAAGATATGTATATCCTCTTATTACTTTATATAATAATAAAATAATATATCCGCGGCACAAATCTCCATAAGCAATTATTTGAATTTTAGGAGTTCTTTGTATTAATTTATAATACTTTATTTTCATTGCCAGTAAGCTCACGCATTTGGCGACAAGCGATATCCTTGTGCGCAGCGTCACGTGATTTTTGCACGAGCCCTGACGTGACGAGTGGAGTCGCGTGCGGAGTTATAGCTCAACGTTACTTGTACGCCGCCCTCTACCGGCTGAAGCACGATGACGGCTTCTATCATCACTTGCTAACAGTCATCGCAGAATACTTTACGGACAAGTAAATAGATGTATGGTAACAGTTATTGTTACGTTCTAATACCTAGGTATGAAAATCGATTATGAAAATATCGATAATATTTTCCAATAAAAATCGGTTACATTAACCGATTTCAATTGTTACACTTACTATGTGAAAGAAAGTAAGACCACACTAGTTCAGATGTTCGTGATTAATATATCAAGCAAAAACGATTATTCTATCAAATCGATATTTTTTGTAGAATATCACCTATAAAAACCTAGAGATATTCCTATATTAGCGTATGTTTAACTAAAAGAGTTAATTAATTATTAAGATATTAATTAATAAGTAGAAATATATTGTGCCTTATTTAAATAAACTGTCTTCCGATGTGCCTTGAAAATCGAAATTTTGTTTTTGTTTAGGAATATATCATTTTTATTTTATTAAAGGTTGATACAGTTGAAAGAAGTTGAAATTTATGACAAATGACAAAATAATACAACATTATTTTCTCATATATTACGTAAGTTATTATTATTTGTTTTGTTAATACAGCACAACTTTGTCTTCCTACGAAACATGTTGGTATTATACTAATAAATCTCTTGTAAGTATGTAACTTGTCTTTAACATGTTATGTATTTATGTGTACTCAAAATCGTGTAAAACTTACAAACTATTGTTAATTAAGAACATACTTGTATTATGGATATACGACCTTCTTAGGGTTATGTTATATCAATGTAAGTTATATATGCAGATATTATTTTGTTTAGAATAATTAATTATACCTAAGTATTACTAGACCCCTTCAAATAGTCAGAAACTCAATGAATTATCTTTTATTTCTTAATTGTTAATTACCGCCTATAAACGGTGGATTTGATTTTTTATTAAATTTGATAACTTTACATACAATTTTACCTTTACAATACATCTGTACAATACAGACGAACCCATACTAATGAAAACGTAGAGTTATTTCTAATTACTCGGTGTTAAAAAAATAACTGAAACTAAAAAACAAATCATAGTAAAAATTCCTAAAATGCTTGGCAGGTGTCTTAAACAATATTTAAAATATGATTATTATATTAATGTTCAATTAAGTGTCATATTACGTTAACAGTTTTAGTGTGTTTCCTGCATTATGAAATTAGTTAATATTACTAATAACAGACAAAAATATTTGAATTGCTTTCTTTTTAGGTATTTCAATACAACACCATGTTTCTTTACTAAATATGCCACAGAAAAACTATGGTCGTCACACTGAGATGTACTAAATACATTTTGTTAAGACGAACTTACGTTTTTGTTTGTTAATTAAATATGTAATTAGGTGTAGAATACTGTAGAAGAAGGTATATCCTTGTTAGATTTTAATTTGCTTTCTAACACAAGAGCTAGCACTATTGCTTTAGTTTTTATGAACTCGTACTATTGTAGAAAACATGTACCAAGTCCATACGGTGTTGATTAATGTACACAAATGAATGGAAATTATTATTAATTATCAGTATTGGAGCGAGCGAGCGACACTTACTCGTAAGTCGTACAGAATTTAGGATTAGGCCTAATCCTAAATTTTGAAGCTTAACAACTTTTCGAAAAAAAAAGTTTGAATCATTTAAAATGCCTAATATATAACCTTCATATAAACTCGTCACGTGATCAATTAATATGAAATGTTCAAAGTTTATATTTACCCACCCACTTTGTTTCTTATTCAAAGTGGTTCAGTTACATGAAGAGTCTACTGGGTTCTTCGCTTAGTTATCTTACTTCTATCTCTTCACCTATATTAAGTGATGTGGCTGAGGTGCCAACTAGAAACGAGATACAAAAACTGGATAGTGCGATTTTTTTTCTACATTCAATTACCTGTATAGCAACTTTAATGGAGATCGATTGAACGGTATGATGTACTAGCAGACCCGCGCAAATTCGTCGCCTTTCCCCCGTTTTTGCAACACCTTTCATTGCAGCTTTGCTCCTATTGGTGATAAATAGGCTATTCCACAAAAATAGAATTTACAAAATCGGATTAGTACTACCGAAGATTAATACTATCACAATCTTTACTCTTTATAATATTAGTATAAATATTTTACCGCTATGCAAAGATGGCGCCATTTTAATAGCCCTGGGTCGTAAAACTTGAGAATGCAATGGTCTCTGTCTTATTATATTAATTGATAATCAATGCAAAAGATTTATTATAAGTAGTGTTTTCTACATATGACTGATATTACTGATACATATGTTTTTTACGTTATAAGTATGTTTTTTTAGTATAACCTAAGCCAATTAACGCTTGTCATACACAATCTTGAATTTAATGAAACTATTGTAGAAAAGTAATCATTTACCAAAGCTTTCTTTTTTGTGAATAAACTCCAATTCATTTTTATCTTTAGCCATATAATAAATCAATGATATTACAAAATTGATAGAATAACAATTGATGAAACACTTACCTATTATTTGTAACTGTAAGGTTGTAAAATACATATTATTATGTATCCTATATATATCATACGTATTATCACAGATAAGATAATATGTAATATGTATTTTAAACAAATAAAAACATATTATTATTATTATAACTATTGTTTTTTTTTAAATTCTGAATTATTCTCAATTGTCTTAATATATTTTTAGTCGATTGTCCAATGGTGGTCTTGGTGGTTCAAATTCAAATTCACAAATCATTTATTCATGTAGGACATTTTAGCCGCTTATGAACGTCAAGTTTTTACATTATAATTTTTTTCCCTACCGTCCAGTTCGGTATATAGATCCAATTGAGAAGAACTGGCAAGAAAGTCAACTGAATTACTTTAAAGTAGTAGTTCTTACAATAAATTTTTGTTATAGTTTATTTTATGGAACTAAATTTATTTACTTTTGCTACGTGCAACGAGAAGACCGTGGTGTTATTCATCCAATTCAAACTTGTGGCGGCGTGGTGGACCGGGTCAATTTGCTCCCTTAATATGGTTGAGTGCAATAAGGTTGGCTCATCCGTCATACTCGTGAACGGGTGCTGCTTGTGAGGACTGGTCTGTTCGGGTTACAAACACTGATTAGACTATTTGCTTTTGCAATAGCATATGCTGGAGTTACTCTATTCTCTCAAATTTGAATTTAAAATGAATCATTCCGAACTGACGGTAGATTTGACATATTTTAAGAATCTGTACTAGACATATAGGAATAAAGATATTTTGAATTTGAATAAAAATATACTGATTAGTAAATAGATGATTAATACACTGGGCCGTCGACTTAAAGCAAACAACTACTGAACCTGTATCGAATTAGGCCAGCGCATCGGATTGGCAGGTCTCACGATGTTGCCTTTAGAAAGGCGAATGGATAGCAGCTGTATGGCTGCACAGTCCCGTTGCTGTGGACTTCCCGTTTTACTTGTCTTGAAGTATTTCTTTTAAAGATACAGCAATAGATTTATATCTTTATTATGCTACATATGTGGACTAGACCAAATTAATTGCGAATCGTTTCCATAAGTGCAAACCATTAATATCTATTTATAATATTCGAATTAAATACTGGACTAATGATCTCATTTCTAACAATGTACATCTTAGGTTGACCTCCACGTTCACCTAGGAAACCATCGTGATAAATTCCTGGTGAATTTGTCACGTTGGGCAGACATTAAGCTCATGGGCACACACTCTCATCCTATCACCCTTCACTGGTGCCCCGCTAGCGTAAACTGTTACGCGTAGCAATATTCCATTATTATCCTTTAAAAAAAATTTTAATGTGATATTCAGACAGTTCAATTGGAATTACAAGGTTTTTACACATACGGAACCCTAAAGTATAGGACGGACTGTCTATGCGTTTGACATACGAGTAAAAACAGGTACAACAAGCTCTAGTGCAGTTAGATATAATTTCATTTGTGGTTTAACGAAGCTTACAACACGGCGGAAAGGTAAGGGCAAATAAAATGTGATCGTTTTACAGTTTATTGGCCCAAGTGGGTGATACAGTTAGTCGAAAGCCGAGTGCACCAACGCGGACAGGTTGCTTTGACCGTGATTTTCGACGCGGCACGAACTTTGTCGCGTCAATAATTAATTATTTCCCACATTAAACACTAATACATTACTAATGTGAGCGGTTCCATTTGCAATTTTGGAACACACTTTCTATTTGCACGGACATGATTTATTATTTTGTTATTGTCTATACCTATCAGGTTTATTTACGAACATATCTAGTTAAAAATAACCAGTCCTCTCACTTAAAGAATGTCCCTTCTTATAGGTAAATATATACATATTAATCTACCTCTTGAATCACTCTATCTACTGCTAAAAACTGCTTTAAAATCCGTTGCATAGTTTAAAATCTAAGCGAACAGACAAAGGAAGCGACTTCAATTTATACTATGTAAAACATTACTCATTGGTTGTCGACTCTGCGGAATCGATGTAAAAATAATGACAGTATTTTTTTATCTGGGCATAATCTGATAATTCAATAAATTAATTAAGAGATTTTTTTTACAATTCTTTTAATTTGCGGCACGTTACCACATTTACCTTATTTATTGGACAATCATGGAGCCCGACGCTATTATTCATCCATGTCCACAATAATAGGAAATCTAGTTTAGCTATAAAAACATAACCATAAGGTAGGTGTTAAATACTTTGCTACTTAGTAGGCAGTTAAATACTTTCACGTTTATCACGCCTAAGTATTGATAAGTAGGTACCTACTAAAGACAAACAATTATTATGTTATTAAACATTTAGTTCTAATGTAAGATATCGCTTTATAAAACTGTGAGAGTTGACTTGAAATGATCTTTTATTCTCGGCACCTTGAATAGGGTACATTGCAAACTAAAATTAGATAAGAATTTGTAACTTATTTATAAAAATATTTTAAGGAAGATTCAACAAATCACTTAATAAATTCTAATAAATTAATCGTTTACAAATTGTTCAAGAGAACTGAAGCCAGCAGGAGACAATGATTCTTAAAATCACTAAAATATGTAAAGTACGAATATGTATGTGAGATGAAGTCTCCAATGCCACTCACCTTTGCTAGAAATCTTTTCCCCTTTCAAAGGTAGACAATATTATATTTTTCAACCCGATCTAAGACAGAATAGGCTACAGTAAATGATATACCTAAATTTAAAAATAAACAAAACCCAATAATATCAATAAAATAATTTATAAACTACCATTTGATGAGATTGGTTTTCAAACAACAAAGATAGCTGTATTTACTGCACGTTGAGTTTGTTAATTCCAGTTTAGCAGGGCCGACTGGTGTGGTAAGGCAGTGCTGCGGTGGCTGTACCGCTATCTCCGCGAATAAATAAAAGATGCAACGGAGACCATGTACATAGCGGTGTTCACCTGCGGGATCGTGGCTCAGTGCGCCTCTAGACACATTCCGCGATGGTCAACTACAAGCGCGTGGTGTGCGAAGTGGCTGTGGTCGCGGTGTTGCTGACGGTCGCTGCTGGAGCCCCTACACCTGACTGCGACAAACACTACGACCAGCGGCAAAATGGCACCGAGAACTACCGACTTAATATCGACGGCGTCGTAATAGCTGTTGCTCCGGCGCAATCGCTCCTCGAAGTGGCTTCAGATATTGACATCAGCGACCTTTTGGAGTTATACGAGATGAATGAAATGGAGAAACCGAAGCCACCATCCAACCCCATCAGTATACCAGATGTTAAACCAGAAGATACGAAACCCCAACAATCGAAGCCTGAAAGTCCTGAGAAACCAGCAGAGGCGCCGCTCAGTGACGTCAGCTTGAACACAGATTTGAAACCAGCAAAAAAAGACGCTTTATCCAAGAAACATGAAAAAACTCAAAGGTAAAGTAAATCGGTTCTAAAACCAATGTATTTACTACACACACACACTTACAAGACATTTGTCTAATTACATTAAATGTAAATCTATACACATGTTGAAAGCTTTCAATATTTATGTAGATTTACAATACTACTGCTCTATGACCAGATAGAACAGGTCGACCAATTTTAATGTAGTTTTTAAATTAATATCTAAGGTTACGAGATTATTCGTATCTACATTCGATAATCTAAAATATTTATAAATGAATAAGAAAGGACACAGTTACAAATCTAAATTATTATAAAATTAAATTATTGAGAATTAATAAAATTGTAAATTTCTTTACTTCAAAATAATTAGATATGGCAAAAGCTTATTATTTTTGTAGTCTAGGTAACAAAGACCCTACGTCTGTAGGTATATGGCATTTTTTGCGTAAGAAAATATATTTAATACTATCTTTGTATACACATATAAAATATGCTGTGTTTTGTTTGCAGGTTGAAGGCGAGACTCGCTCACATTCTGCTGCCGCTACTTAGAAAAAATCGCCATCACTAAATAAAATTTCAATAAATATAATAAATATTACTATAACCCATTATAGATAATATGAGACATATTATTTGTAATGTAATATTTATTTATTAGTGTTAGGTATTTGGTAGTGTTATGACGTGATCATGAGTGATATTGAATGCATTTATTTAAGATAAGTTAATTATATAAGTTTGTAATAGTGTTTGTTTTGTTGAAAATAAAATATATGATTCTTATTGAAAAATCCCAAAATGTTGTTTTAACTAATTTAGTTGCCCATTCTTTTTTAGGATGATATTATCATTATAGTTATTGTAAGAACACCGGGTACAGTTTTATGCTCACAAAAGGCTTTAGCCTAATTATTAACACGGCAGTCATCCAACCAATTTAGTGCAGGATTTTATGATGAAAGGAAATTATGATAATTCTTTGTACTATTCTACTCCGTCACTGCATGGGTTATTACTTATAATAAATTTATTCTAAAATTATCAATTGGATATTACGTAAATAAAAATTAAAAACTTTTCCTTAATTGATTCTTTAAATAAAATTTAATTTTGAGTACCTCGTATTTGATAATAAGTACCTAATTAAAACGATGTGAGAAATACGACTGCCTTATTGGTACTAAATTATGCATCGATTTGTAACTACAATATTGAGACGTATTGTTTTTGCTGACAATGAAAATGCTTGAACATCGAGACTGTCTAAAATGTAGGTATGGAGATGCTCGTGCAGTTACAGACACATAAATAAGTAAAAAATGATAACAAACCATATGCTTTAAAAAGACTTTCTTCTTAGTTGAATAATATTCTGGTCTCTGGTTGAATGCATTAAACTGGACGGTAGCGAAAATAATATTAATATAAAAAACTTGATGTTCATAAACGACTAAAATAATGAATAAATTATATTTGTTTTGACTTGAATAATTGTGAACGGATGAGGAAGAGTTCTCGAGTGTGAACCTTGTATTGACAAACGTAATGTAAGAGGATCCATATATCTACCTGGAACGAAAAACTGAAGTGTTGCATTCAGATATTTATATTATATATATTTAGATATGGATTTGTAGTCCATATTGTTCCTTTTTGTCAATTTCTGAGTACGAGTATTTTATAATAAACTTGTTTCCCGCGTATTGCTTGCGGGATGCTGATCTATTTAGTACATTAACAATGTAAACTCAAACACTCACTCAATTCGCCAAGTATTAATTAGTTACACTTTAGATATGTCATCATTAGGATTTTTTTCAATGATGATAATGGAATGGTTCACAGACCTGCGCGGTTTACGCTGGCGGGGCACCAGTGGAGGATGATAAGATGAACATGAGGTCAGGTCAGGCAAATGGCAGTTTACCACGCTGTTTCCATGGGAATATCGCGTGGAGGTGAACCTGACATGGTACATTGCTAGCAACAGGGTAATTAATCTGCATTACTAACATAACTGCCCTTATATATACCCTTTAATTTATTATTATTTATATTCATTTACAATAGCCGCCTCTTGCAATATCAATGAAAAAGTCAAAATTAAGGATATTGACTTTTTCATTGAAATTGCAAGAGCCGATGTGTCACAAAAGAAGTGATGTCCCACTTTTTTAATACTATGTCAATACACGGTGTAATTATTTTTTATATTAATAAAAATACAGACATCTATTTCCACTTTAGAATCAATTTTACGATAGAAATATTTGCTACATTTCCAATAGATATACGTACATAGTTACAGTTCTAACTAGGTGTAAGTTTTTAACGAAAATACTCTTCAAACTATTTATGACAAACTGGTTTACTTTCCTTTCTCTGCCTAGAATGCATAGATTCAGTTGTGGCGACCCGAGCCGTTCAATAAGTATGTCACGAGAGCTTTTTAGCAAGGCTAGTAGTGTGTTCACGTTTGTCTACTTTCCAGTGCAATGTTTTTCCTGTTTCATATGTTTTTTTATCAACCGTTTTATTGTTCTAATTTGGTTCATCGGCCATGAAACATTTTTTGGGAGAGTTTTGTATACTAATATTAGAACATAAAAAAATATCTTTATCTTTGGCTAGTATAATACGATTCGAATTCATGATTACGATTTGTATGGATATGGTTGTTTTTAAGTAGGCAGGTTGAATGCCTTCATTGGTGTCCAGCCAGCGCAAACTATAAGTGTAGTGATTCACATTATGAAATCGTAACATTACATAATTTTAATTGACAGTTTGACTTGATGCTGTGTTATGAAAAAAATGATTCCAGTACTTCACAGAGAAATAGGAAAGTAAATTAAGAAATATAATATTAACGTATGTTATTAAATTTGAAAAATCTATAACAATGTTGTACGTAGTTGCTTGTTAATCATTATTTTATTCATGACCTATTTATTATTTTATTTACCACTAGCTGTACCCGCGACTTCGTCCGCGTAAAATAGTGAACTTGACTAAATAATGAAAAAAATATTTAATGATCTAACCCAACAAAAGCCAAATTAAAAAGTTTCATCATTTCATCTTCAAAAATGATACTTCCATACATAACTCTTTCAACCCCTTATAACTTCTTTTCTTAATATATATTTAATAAATAGGCTAAAAATTAAACTTCAAGCTTCTAGCTTTAAAAACGACAATATTTGCATGTAAACATTTGACTCTCTTTTAAATTCCTTACAACCCATTTTTCTTTATTTATATTTAATCAACAGCCTAAAAATCAGTTACAGTATTTGAAAATGGCGATATATCTATACAACTTTGCACCTTTCAATCACCTTACAACCCTTTTCCACATTAAAAAATACCCTATATCCATTCTCACGGTCTTCTAGATTATATGTTCTAAATTTCATTTAAATCGGTTCAGTAGTTTTGGCATGTAAGCGAGATCGAGAGTTATAATATTAGTGAGGTATTTAATAAATAAACCCAAAAAAGCCAATGAAAACAGTTTCATCATTCTAGCTTAAAAAGTCATGAATTTACATAAAAATCTTGATCCCCTATTTTATTGTACCCCTTTAAGGGTAAAATTACTACAAACTATGAATCATCATCTCATCATCTTATATTTTATAGGTTGGTCAATCATCACCAACCTAAAATATAAGTTTCAAGCTTCTAGCTTTAAAAATGACGATTCTTACGTACAACCGTGTTTTTTTAACGTCAGGAAAAAATCTTCATAGAGGCCCACCGGCTTAGGGGCTAAATGGGGACTGCCGGATTCATATCGGCCAAAAACCTGACGACTATTCCTCCTCGAACATGTCGCCGTAGCTATAGGATCGCATATGCATTCTCCAAGACTACCGGCACGGTTCCCATTGAAGGGACCTTTCATCTAGGCGTGCAGGGAATAGCCTCTGCACGCCACCGTAATGCCTCCCTTGTGAGCTTCGGATCGCCCTAACAATCCTCCACCCTAGGGTCAAATATGGATTCGATGGCCACGCTGATAGACTCAGGTGTCCATCGAATCCTCCCCTCCCGCCGGTGACCTGCGGTGCGGTGACCTGCGCTGCAGTACCAGCAACGTGGCGATGGCGCGACACATCTCGCGGTCTTGTGGCCGCCCTGACCACAGCGATAGCACCTATCGCTGCAGTCTTCCCCTGCAGTGCACCGTTGGCCTACGTGCCCACCTTAGCTTAATCCGACCCGCCTGGATTAGGGTTTAGGCTGCTGCAACCGGGCATCGCACCCAGTTTGAGCCCACGTCGGAGGGAGTGCACCGGACCTCGCCCGCCTGTATGCTTGTATCCGCGCATCCTCCCACTCGCGGCAACGACGTTCTCAGATGTTACTGAGTCGTCCAGGTCACATAGTCTCAGCTCAGCCTGGTGACCCGGACTTTTTCTACTGGCAAGATCACTAACCTTGCGGCTAGTGAGTTCGCTTTGTCGCCGGTATCGGCGCCTGGCACTTCTAGGATGCGGCATCCAGCCACACCCAGCTGGAACCGTAGGTCGAACAACCTCGTATGCATGGCATGTACCCTTTCAACCCCTTATAACCCTTCTATAGCATCCAAAAGTATCCTATGTGCTTTCTCAAGATCTAGACTAATTGTGTACCAAATTTCACTTAAATCTGTTCAGTAGTTTTGGCGTGTAAGTGAGACTGACAGACAGACAGTTACTTTTACAGTTATAATATTAGTAAGGTATTTAATAAACTAGCTAAATTCAATAAAAAAGTTTCATAGATCTAGCTCCAAAAATGGCGAATTTACCTAAAATTTTTCATCCCCTATTTTATTTTACCCCCTTAAGGGTAATTTTATACAAATTTTGAATGTCATATTCATTTATATTTAATCAACAGCCTCAAAAATAGGTTTCAAGCTCCTGGCTTCCAAAAAGTCGAATTTACATAAAAACTTTCATCCCCTATTTTATTTAACCTCTCAAGGCTAACAGTTTTATAAACTTTGATGGCCTATTTATTTATATTTAATCAACAGCCTCAAAAATAAGTTTCAAGCTTCTAGCTTCAAAAATGACGAATTTACATAAAAACTTTCATCCCCTATTTTATTTTACCCCCTTAAGGTTAACATTTTTACAAAATTTCCAGGCTTATTTATTTATAGTCAATCAACAGCCTCAAAAATCAGTTTCTAGCTTCAAAAATGACAAATTTACATAAAAACTTTCATACCCTATTTTATTTTACCCCTTAAGATTAAGGGTAAGGGTAAGATTTTTACAAACTTAGTATGTCATATTTATTTATATTTAATTAGCAGCCTTAAAAATAAGTTTCAAACTACTACCTTCAAAAATGACGATTCTTCCATACAATCTTTCATCCCCAATTTCAACCCCTTACAACCCTTTTTTCGCATTAAAAAGTAGCCTATGTCCTTTCTCAGTGTCTAGACTATCTGTGTACCAAATTTCATTTAAATCGGTTCAGTAGTTTTGGCGTGAAAGCGAGACATAACAGACAGACAGACAGAGTTACTTTCGCATTTATAATATTAGTAAGTAAGGAGTAAGGATTATTTTATTTTAACCATATTCTATTTGATAATTAATTATAGTAAATAAATAAGTTATTAGTTAAATAGGTATTAATTGTATTTCTAAAACAAATAGGTATCAAATACGAAAGAGAACTTTCTAGAAGAGACTATAATTATATACCCATTGCAAAGTAGATAGTTTTGGGGCTATATTTAGACGTATTATCGGATGTCTGGTGCGCGTGGAAGTCGGTTATCGTGATGATGACCTCTCGGTCACTGTCACATAGCCGTGACTCGACACTGATACACTGAGTCCAACGCCAAATGCGACACGGCAATTAGCAAAAAATAACGTTCAATAAATGTGGACCTCTACATAATGGTATCTTTGCTAATATGCAATATCATAACAACAGTTTAAATATCTGTTGTAAAGCTGGGCTGCTTCCCTATAAAAGACTATAGTTACTACACTGGCCAAGGGTCTATATCAAGTTTGCCAGTGGCGCCGGCGATGGTGTTATGCTGCGTAGTCAGCATTCGGCAGTCCGCACATAATGTTCTTTCTTGTTACCACACGAAATGTTCAATGTTCTTTTCTCTACTAGTTAGTTCCTAATATATAAGTATACTCTCTAATAATTATATAACATAACTCTCGAAGTAGGTAGAAAAATATTTTATTAAATACATATATATAAAAAGATATCCCTATATGAGAAAGGTCCTATAGCCTAATTAAGATTACATTAGGGTGACATATTATCCAAACTAACGCCTTCTCGAATTCGAATTCAGTTGAAATCAAAACAAAAGAAAATAAACTAAGAGGAAACCAAATGTAGGTTACATTTGCAATTTTTTTTAATCGCATGAGCGATAAAAAAAAACGATGAGTGTTATTGAGTCGGTACCTGACCCGTGTTCGTGTCGTGTAAACCGTTACCGTGCCCGTTTCACGGGCAGGCGATCGGTGGACTGGTTCGTGTGTGCTTGGTAAAAGCGATGTCAGAATATGCAGAGCGCAGTCAGCGCCCAAGAGTTTCCACAGTCGCACGCATCATGCTGTATCCTTTACTACTGACATGCGTTCTCACTACCGTGGTCGCTGCACCGGCGTCCTACGACCAACGCCAAGATGGTGACTTCAACGTACGGGCCGACGTACAAAACGTACTGTTCTTAGTCGTATTACCTGAAAAAGTGCCGACTGGACTTCTAGGATATTTGAAAAATTCAAAGCCTAACCACGACCACCAGCTGCAAGAGAGAGCAGATATCCATGTTATGGAAGCATTTGTGGAGCCGAACACCCCTTACCATGTGGATATTGGAACGCCAAGTGATAGGTCTGCTGAAGGAGACGGGCGCGCTGTGGAAGTAGTGATTGCTGGCCGCCGCAATAACGTTAGTAGCGAAGGTCAAGAAGACGAGCTCAAACTGCTGGGTGCTACTGAGCAATGTGGACCAGACAGAGAAAGGGATCCTGTGACTCTCACATGCCGAGAAATACAACAATCAAAATCCGAACTGGAGCCCATACAGTCGGACAGCAAAGTAAACGAACCTGCGATACAGCCCGAAGTTGTTCCCGTTTCATAGTTTAGTGATTTGTTTTATTTAGTTAACTTATTTGCCTAAAGTAATATCGCCATTGTAACGTATTGTTTAATAATTTATTTATTTTTAAGGTTAAATAATATAGACATTTTCCAATTATTCTTTTCTACTTTTTATTATCTATAGATTATGTATTGTTATTACTGCCATAATGAAAATAGTTATTGATGTAGGGAACATAAAACTTGCTTGAATAAAAAAATGGAGCCCTACAATATAATCATTATATTCAAATAACAGGAACAATACTACAATGAAGAACCCAGTATATATACAAAAGCTTATAAAAATAATTTATTCTGAATGCATATTTCATCATTGATGATTCTAAACCGGTTTTAGTGTTAACCGTAAACTTTGACTTGTTGAAATAAATCAAGGTGATCTAAATAATTACTGTATAAGTGGATATTGTATGTCGATGTTATCTAATTTCTCCTTCATCCAGCGCTCCGCCTGCTGCGTCATCTCCTCATCGAAGTATGACCGCCATCCTCCCGCCTTGCCTGATAAGTAAATAATCTAATATAAATAAACTAGCTGACCCGAAAAACGTTGATTAGCATGTTAATTAATTCTGGATAGGGCCACCCTTATCATGTTTTCAGTCCTACCAAATATGCACTATTCATAAAAATCGGGTCAAGCCGTTTCGAAGGAGTTAGATAACAAACATTGAGACACGAGATTTTTATATATTAGATAGCCATCGCATCGTGTCATCTAGGCCTAGACAAAGAAGCGAAGGTCGCACTAGATAATTGTTAGAATAAACATTTCAATTTCTTTATAGGCAATCTGACATATACCTACTTAAAATTAAACTCAAAAACAACTTCTAACGGGCAGACACAGAATGTATTCAATATTCAACTCACTTAGTTCAATAAAATTAAGATTACATAGTAATAAAAGCAAATGCCAAATAAAATATCTCGGCTAATCAATTATTATACTACACGTATTTTACTACTGTATTTTATGCGTGGTAAGCAAATTCTGTACGGATTTAGAAACTTTACTCTGTGTGTATCCGATTAAGTATATAATATTCAATTTTGTAGCACAATTCTTTAAAATCAGCATAATATTATACATCACCTTTCCTGATAAATACGGCATCTTTTTTCATTAAACCAATGTTTTTGATGCCCTCTAAATTCACCGACTTGTTGTTTCTAAAGTTATCGATGTGCAAGTGTTCACAAAGCCGGGACACCTGCTCTTCGCTCACCGGTTTGTTGAGGAACTGTGAAACTCGACGAACTGCTGCTGGCAAATCCTAAGAAAAAATAACAAATCAAAACCCACTGCTAGTTTTTAGTATAAATTTCTTTTAATTAGAATTTTTAAGTTGACGCACCTTTCATGTAGAGTCCTTATAGATGTATTTAATAATATATAAGTTTATGTCCCTATCCCATTTATATAGAACAAAGAACAAAGATTAAAGGACTGTTACCGTGAAAAAGAAACATTATTATATCAACACAACTATTATGTTTTTATTAATGTTAATGCCTGCAGAACATATAAAAATGTATTTTATTTTACACTAACATGTACAAGTCAGTGACTTTACACGCGTGAGATCTTGTAAAAAGTATCCCATAAATATGATCATGATGAATGTACAGATATATTGAATTCCATTGAAATTCGTCTAGGAATTTAATTATAATTTAGTAACAAACAATGTTTACAATTAAAATATGCCTACGATATTACAATACTACACATACCTTATAGAGTTCTTCATAAAACAAAAATAGCATATTAGGGTGATGTCGTTTCTCCCAAGCTTCTTTGATATGTGCTTCATACGGAGTGTATTCAACTGATAAAAGTTAATAATTCAATAAGACGTGATGTTATAGTGCCTTCATTGCCTTTATCCTATCATTACGAGTCGACGCAAACATCTTCTTTCATATTTATCTGAACTTACTCTCCTTTTTATAGCATAAAAGAGTAACGTAAGTTTATTAGTTTCTATGTCCCTGTCAGTTAGTATATCATAACAGATCACTTTCATCAGATAACTTATCAACTTGATTGGAATTCTCAATAATGACACATCACATTAGACTTATTACATTTGCAAATTGACCGTACCTATATTACCGTATCTATATTTTGATATTCGTAAATGACATAGTCCCTATCAACATACTAAAGTTTATAATTTACGTACTCTTAAATGAGAACATAGAAACGAAACAATTATTCAAGTAACCGCTACTCATTACATTTATCTGCTTAATGAAAGTGGATATATTATGTAAATTAAAATTATTAATAAATTACATTAAATACTATAGTAATTGAGAAAAAGAGTGTTTATGGATGTATATATATATTTATATTATTAACGGCGTAAATGTATGGTAAATACTATATATGTATATAGTATTTACCATACATTTAATACATTTACGCCGTTAATTCTAATACTTTCTATTGATAAGTAGTACTATCTGTGTATAATTAAGATAACGTGGATAGTAGCTATGAGCATGAGGTGTGCGAAGCGCGGTGCCTAGTTTTGAAGTAATTGTTTATCACGGCGTCACCTTAACCTCTACTGTTTCTTATTTCCCTGTTTCTTATTTATTAGCTGTTGCCTGCGACTTCGTCTGCATTTCCGTCGTTTTTCGTAAAATGAGTAACCCATGCCTCACGGTTCAGTGGTTGTGATGCGTTTTCCTACTTTCCACTTCACTGCTCTGCTCCTATTGATCGTAGCGTGATAAAAAGTATACTATAAACTGCCCAGGAGTATGAAGAATAATTGTACCAAGTTTCGTTAAAATCCGTAGAGTAGTTTTTGTTTCTATAACGAACATACATACAGACAGACAGACAAAAATTTTACTGATTGCATTTTTGGCATCAGTATCGATCACTAATCACCCCCCTGATATTATTTTGGAAATATATTTCATGTACAGAATTGACCTCTCTACAGATTTATTATACATAAGTGTTAGACTTAAAATGAGATTAAAATATGAGAGTTCTTTTTATACATTTTGTTTTATAACACTTCTGTCACAGCGCTCTGCTATAATAAACGTCTATACAAGCATCTCTCTATTTACATTCATTTCTACTATTTATAGATAAACCTCACCTTTATTGGTAATAAATAAATTCCAAAAAGTTCTAAAATCGCCTATATATTCACGAAGAAACATCATCTTGCAGTGGTGGTAGTAGGAGACAGCGACATCTCTTGGGTCTCGCGCCACGTATACCACTTTCGCAGTGTGTAGCAAAGTGGGTGGCAACAGCGAGAACGGCAAGTGCGACTTGATAAAACGAGGCGATGGTGCATTGAATATGTTGTCAATACTTCTAACACCGTTTGTAAAACTGTTGTGAAATTGTTTCAATTTGGGTTCCCTTTCTGCCCATTCTCCTAGCCACTTTTTTGTCTTCGGGCTATGTAAGACCATGCTAAACCTGAAAAATAAGAGATTGTGATGTTTACTATTAATTAACATTTGATGATGATGATCATCGTGATAATGACTAACTGTCTTGATTGACAATAATATGAAACTACTAATTCACAGTATAGAGTAAGCACCTTTGCTTGAATATACATACTTTTATTATGTTCAGGTTTCTTTTATTTATCATACTTACTTCATATGTTCAATTTAAAAAAAAATTGAACAATGTTCTGTTTTCTCTCGTTGAGAACGACAGTAGGAACAAATATTAATTCAAATAAAATCTAGACGTTCATAAGCGGGTTAAATATTCTACAAGAATCAATTATCTTTATATTTGTCTATTATTATTATATTTTGCCAATACGACATACAAGAGTAATCAAGCCCGTTTTTAGAAGTATTTTTTTTAGATACTTACTCGGTGAATGGAAACCTTTCGGCGAGCAATGTCTTCGCTGCAGCCTCGTAATTTAAATCATTTGCTAATAACCAAACCAGCTCCTGGACCCACGTTGTGCCTGTGTGTGGTATTACAATTATTAGGAGATTCTATTAGACTGGCATTTTGTTTCTTTACATAAATGGAATGACAAACAGCTGACAGCACACCTGAAAGTAACTGGTAGCCGTTCACATAGTTGCGATTAATTGATAAGAATATAAAATTAGTCATTGGAAATACTATGAGGCATCTTGAAACTAGTGTATAAACAAAGAAATTATATAGAAATAGAAACTCTTCATAGAAACATATTTGGCCCTTCATATAAATCTAGGTTCAAGGTTGAAATATGGACGCAACAACAGGGAGTAGTTTCAGTATATCTATAGTTTCATTCGATAAAATTGACCGTTACCTACGAGTACATAATTACAAAACTATCAATTGTTATAAATAGGCTCATTTCTAATGCAGTGTATATTTATGTAATATTTACATTTTCAATTAATGAACTGTTAATTCTATGATAACAAAACCTGTAATAAAAATCTAGACACGCGGCAGCGTGTCAAGCCGAGTTTCAAGTAAACTGGCCTGCAGCACCGTGTGTATATTTACACGAACCATTTGGAGCCACTTTTGACCCCCTCATAACTCAAAAACTCTATCACACAAACCTGTCAAATTTGGTTTATATATTGAGACTTGCGAGATAAATATGTGTTCCAAATTTCATAAACATATCTCAAACGGTTATTTAGATATTAATGTCCAAAAATCGTCATTTTTATCACTGATCAACTATAGATCAAAATTATAACCCACTTCCAGATGACCTAGGAAGTTCAAATTTGGCATGCAGATAGGTAATTAGGTGAATATAAAGGAAAAAATCTGAAACTGGTAAATTGTTATCATTTTACTACAATTTTTCACTTTAATTGATTATATTTCAACTTATACTGGACGAATACTAAAATTCTATGAAAACGTCGATAGCCACCAATTGACATTGATCCCTGCGGAAAATCTCATCTTGTACTGGACGGAAAGTAATATTGTATGAAAACGTCGATCATTACCAATTTACGTTGACCCCTTCACATCAGTGTCGATAACTAGCAAACACAAATATTGCATTGAGCGGTAAACACTAGTTGCTATAATTTAGATTCTGTCTAAAATATACTCGTACTTATAACTAGGAGTATAGTCGAATTTCGTATTTATTATGTTATTAACTGAGATTTGGTATTAATTATTATTTCAATATTTAGCGCACATCGATAGTGTAAAATCATTATTTTTATAAATAATTATTAAATAATAGACATTTCGGTATAGGGCGCCGCGGCGCCGTGTGGGAGCGGTGCGATAAAACGTTGACGCGAACCTGTCCGAGCGAATGGCAGCCGCCCTCATATGTCTCAATGTTTTGTTTCCCGATATCTAACCTATAAGGTTGCGATTTATGCTACGAAATTTATAGCTTTCTTAAATTATACTTATATATTTGTGGTTATATTATTATTACATTATTTTAGTAAATACGTATGGTATAGACAATAGTTTAAACCAAAAATTAATAACAATTTTAGTGTAGTTATAAGTAGGAATGTATAGTTAACTCGAGAATGAGAACTTATTGGTGACAAATTGTTTTCTTGAGAATTCAATAGATAACAGTCAATTTGTTACATAATCGTCTTTACGAACTATAACGTGTCAATACGAAGTTTCAGATATTAAATAATGTATATGTTGAAAGAGAACAATTCCGTATTTGCTTAACATATGCTATTACTATCCACAAATCACAAGGTCTTAGTTTTGGCAGTCCTCTTCTCAACATAGGCTCCTCTATATTTAATAAAGGGCAGGTTTACGTTGGACTCTCCAGAGTTAAAACCTTAGATGGAGTACGTCTTAACAATTTAGATCCAAGTCACGAGAGCTCTATTGTAGAGTACAACCATCTGTGGACGTTATACCGCCCCGATTTTCCCAAAAATTCCTGATACTGAATTGGCTTTGGACTTCAACATTTAAAAGTTACAAGAAAATATAGAAAATAACACAAAAAAAAGACAATTATACCCCGTAAATATACGAAAATACAGTAATTTATCAAAAATAATTTGGTATTAATTTAGTTATAAATATGTACCTCGTATAATTTATGTACGAAATATACTGTAGCCTTCGCAAGTACTTGTCGGTTCCTATTTTAATATTAATAGTAACTAGCAATCGAAAGTAATAATTGGTATATGAAAACTGGCCAAGTTAGACCTTAGGCTACAGTATATTATCCTAAGTTATAAGAAGAAATGATATTTTATATTGTTATAAATACATTTCAGGACAGACCATTGAACTTGGCACCCATTTAGATCTCATCTCTTTTGTCGTAGAAGTCAACAATCAAGGCATATATCATAATATTAAACTCGGCTATCATTTCATATTTATGTTTTTGATGGGATATATTTATCTAAATTTGATATATTTAAATTATATAAAATTATTGTTGTATTATGCTACAAAAGTATACCTACTCACCTGATTTTGGAAAGGTAACTACGAATATATCATCAGGTCTCACTTTCATATTATATATTTTAAGACTAATTTCACTGAATCCATTTGGAAAAATATAGCCAGTTGGTAGTACTCTAATAAGATCAGGTTTCCCGTCTGTAGAAATAGATAAATACATTAGAATATACTTTAATAATATATTTGGATATACTTCATAACTGTTATCTGAAATGAAGTATTGATGTTGTCTACTGTCGACGTTGTGGTGAACACAACACTTGACATGCCTACATTTTGTTTGATATATAACTATTTAAATCCTACTGTCGTTTTTCTGATTAATTCGGATATAGAACGTTACTTTGATCATTGTTCGGTTGAATAATTCATTTTAATAAATATCGTCATTACTTGGTCTAAACTACATACCACCAAAATACTGATCCAACTCAGCTTGTTCATCCGGTGATACGTCTTTGACTTCAAAAGGATATGTCTTCTCCGTGTCCATCTTTAGTGTAACGTAATTGTGCGCGTCGTGATGCCGGGGCTTATGCCGAAATACTTGTGATTGCTACAGTAATTTATCAATCAAATTGTTTTAGCCACACTATTGTTTTGTATTACGCCTGGAATGAGAGTTCAAATAGATTAATAAAATAATAATCAGTTAATAAAATAATCTTTAATATTAATAGAAATATGTTAATTTTAAAAAATGCAGAAAACTTTATTTGAAACCATCGACATTATCTAGTAGACATTATATCGGTAACTAAACCTCAGAACAAACTGAATTAAAATTAACCTCTCTCCTTCTAAATGCCAAATGTCATCGGTATATAATTAAATTTTACCACATTGGTTGAACTGATATTTCAACCGTCAAGGTATCAGAGTTAAAAGAAATAAACACATCTACTTCTGTTTTAATAGTATAGCAAATGCAATCGATCAATAAAAATACTTACATGAGAAACTAAACTATTGAAGATCAAATAACAACTAGCGGAAACGTGGAGTAAGAATATACGAATACAAAGATTGTACGAGAGCACTTAATGAATAAACAGTAAGATTTTCCTGTAGGTAGTTACGGCCGATATGATATGTCATTTCATTAATAACTCATTTAGTTCTGAATTTTTATCTTTTCTTATCAAATGTCTCAAGAATACAAGATTGAGACGCAAGCGGACTAAAAAAAACAAGAATCTTAGCGGATAACAAAAAATAAGATTTGAATTAATTTATTTAATATATGTATTTTTTTAATGTTCTTATTTTTTATAAAGGTTTATTATGCCTTCTGTTAAGTAGGTACTAAAGAATAGTGTAACTCTATCTTCAAACCTGTTTATTTTGTCACCTATTTTTATTTACATTATTATTTGATTACACAACAGTACGAAAAGTGTCTTACGTGTATCTAATGATTATGATACACTGAGTGTAGTTCTCTAAGATGAGTAACGACCGAGTTTCAGTACGTGCAATAAACAAACAGTTGTGAAGGTAGATGTATATGTATGCGTATGATTTCTCATCTTACGCATTGATCTCATCATATGAGATCTTCCTTAGATCACATTTCATTTGTTATCATTGTATCCATTTCCTGTGATCTCAAATGTGTTTGTCCTTATTGCTTAGAAACAACAATAGGTTTAATACAGCAATCTTAGATAGGATATCTAGTATCTAATGTTGTTTTGTAACTTGTTGAAATACATTAATCGATGTTGATAAGATATCGTTAGTGCAAAACAGCAACAAACCGCAAACAATATTCGACTATATCATACGCGACATCGAATTTTTATCGAAATTTCAATTGGTATTTGTTTATTTCATAATCTGAACACAATTTACCTTATAATAACAGTTTATCATTGTTATTGCAATTTTAATAAAGAATAAACAAAACCTTACGAGTCTTTTTGCAGCCTACTAACTCCTAATAGTACGTACTGTATAACATATAGCATAAGGGTAAGTTAGATTTGTTTTTGGAGTGCTAAGTGGAGTAATTTTTTACATAAACAGTACTGAGTATTTTGTCAAGTTTATTCAGTATAGATATACGAGTATATTTATTTACTTGGAACAATAAACTATTGCAAGTAGGTACTAAATTATCGAAAACACATTAAAACATCTTTAATATTTTATCTAGATTACTTAATATTATCTTTTAGTTGTTATTTGTTTTCCAACGAGACTCATTTAAACGCTACGGCCAAGGCAACAACTACAGTATTGTTAGAGATGGCAGCGGAGAATGAATATCCTTTTGAACTCAAAGATGTACCTCCAGAAGAACAGGGTGAGGTGCATAAGTGTTTAACTGGTAAGTAATATTGCTCAATTATAGAGTCTTTGATTTCAAAACAATATGCTTATTGGGAGATTTTTGAAAGAGAACCTAAAATATAGAATTGTGGTGACAATATATCTTTGTGAAAACATGCTCTTTCTTTATAATATTAGTTACATCGTAACTATTCTTTATAATATTAGTTACGATGTAACTAATATTATAAAGAAAGAGCATGTCATGAGAATAAATGTGATTACATTATTTTATTCTATATCTTCCCATTGCCAAAGATTCGTTGCATCTTGTAAAATTGATAATATTTCTCTCATCTAACAGGTGTCAAACCTGGCATACGAGTAGGCCCAAGCGGGTACTACTTACCAAATGGATTCAAAGTAAATTGTAGCAAAATTTACAATATGGACGTGAGACCAAGTGATGTATTCGTCGTGACCTTCCCGAAATCAGGTGAACATACTTTTGCATATTTTAAATTTGTTTGTTTCAAACCATTGAAGGTTTCGTAAAAATAATATTCAGGTGTGTTATAGATATATCTTATTTAGTGTACATAAATCCTAATAATTTAATAATTATAAAAAATAACTTAAAAATCATAATGTTTGTTATTTAATTATGTACTACTTAAACTGTTAAACAGATTTGTATTGTAGGTATGCAAATTATTTTAATCTAAACAAGCCATCTTTCTTTTCCGTATTATCATCCTCACCGTTGTTTCTCAATATACCTATATTCCTATTAACGAAAATATCATGTATCTACGCCAGAAAAAACATTGACAGTTTTAAAAAAGTAGGTGACTACACTAGATAATAAAAGCTTACGTAATACCAACAAACTAGTTTTTCCTAAGTGCCGTTTGACGAAAGTTAGTAATTCTTTTTATGGAAATTGCGTAAGGTTTACAACAAACTGCCAGAGTCTGTATTCAATTTGCCATAAAAGAGATTTAAATGTCTTATAAAATATTTTCTTTGTAAAAAAGCTTATTATAAAATTAAAGAATTTATGCATGATAGTAATGTTTTTGCTGCAAATATCTAACTTAAAATTCATAGCGCTGACAATGTTATCTGGTTGAACAGAGATTAAGTAGCGTAGCGATTTCTATGTTGATAGTCGCATGCCTAAACCTTGTTAATGTAAATTTAATTAAAGCAATATTTATTTAAAAGAGCAACACACAAGTTTATTTCTTCTTAATAAAGATTATTTCTATTTCTAAAGACTATTTCTATTTCATCATTTTAGTATTTGATATATTTTCAGGCACAACTTGGACACAGGAACTCGTTTGGTTAATAGGGAATGACTTAGATTACGAAACAGCGGCGAAGTTATCGCTCAAAGAAAGATTTCCATTTATTGAGTATGTATTGATTTTTGTTTTGTAAATTCTTGTTAATATTGTTGTATCATACAAGCCCTGAAGTCTCCTACTTATGCCATCCGTGACCATCCATGACCCGTGGCAATTTCATCGAATGAGATGCGGCGTTTACCAAAAAAAGCTTTTCGTTGTATCTTCTAAAATCGATTAAACGCATTTGTAGTATTAAAAAACTATATTATCAAGACAGACATTTTTTTATGTAGCTTGAGATATCTAGTCTCAAAATAAATTTCTGAGAACTGTGAATATTTGTAATCAAACATTTTTTTGTTTTCTGTTTAGTTTTAGTTATTGAAGTTTGACTTCTTAGAAACTCGAGGCCGAGTTTACTGTATAAAAGTTAGTGGATAAACTAGACTACTCTAGGCTCTTGAATGTCTAATGGTTAACACGGATCTAAATAATCATAAAAATCCCAATACCGTCGTTTTGTTCTAGGTTCAATTTCTTCTTCTATAACCCAAACGCAGAAGATCAGGAAAAGAAAGAAGTCGATATGTTTCCATTGCACGAAAAATTTGTAGACACATTGCCAAATATAGATGCAATATTCAATGCACCATCACCTCGCTTCATTAAGTCTCACCTGCCGTTTTCACTATTGCCACCGACTTTGCTGGACACTGCGAAAGTGGTGTACGTAGCGCGAGACCCAAGAGATGCCGCTGTCTCGTACTATCACCACTGCAAGATGATGAAAATGTATGGTTTGCAAGGGGATTTCAAAGAATTTTGGAATTTATTTATTTCAAATAGAGGTGAGAGACATGTTTAAAGTTTTGAAGTTTTCCTAAACATTTTATCTAAGTAGGTAGGTATATTTATAATATGTTGTATGTTTTTGGCAGTTGATTGGTCTCCGTATGATGCACACATAAAAGAAGCCTGGGAGAAAAGACACCACCCTAACATGTTGTTTTTATTCTACGAAGAACTCTATAAGGTACAATTTTTTTTATGTAATTAGAATGACAAGGAATCTTTAGGCCTATTTGATTCTAAGTTGTATTGGTAATGGCCACCTAGCCGTCGACTGTAGTCATGGAACACCACCACGGCATTTTGTGATGCTTGTGTTAGGTCTGTGATAGCCAATTATGGGTTACAATTCCAGTGGACTAATAAGGGGGTGTGTGAGAATCTTATTCACTAAAAACACAGTGTACCTACGAGCGCTATTTCCAGCAGCCCAAGTCGTGACATCGCGTTACCATTCTACCGCGATTCCGGCGGCGTTGTTCCACCTGTAAATGGTGTAGGGCACCATCCCGTTATTAGGGCGATATATTTCGCACTAGTAAATTGTGGAAACATATTGTTACACGGGCTCTATCTCCCTCAAAGCGAGCACCCCAGCCTCAATGGAAAAAGTACCTAACAGTTGCCTATAATCTATACATACAAATAAAGTTGAAGATACATTGAAGTGTCTGTTTGTAATATTGAAATAACCGTTTTTACTATTGAATATGAATATAAATACGGCACATTAGCGCTATAATAAGACTCTTCAAAGAAATAACGAAAAGGTTAGTCGACATCACAGAAGACCGAAGAGCTGGCAGCTACCTCGGACCAAGAATTAGTCTAGCCATTCAAAGAGGGAACGCTGCCAGTATATTCGGAACTTTGTCTAAAGGAACGCCTTTTAATAATATATTTTAGTTATTATATTATATTTTTTAAGCAATAAAATGGAGCAAGAATATGTTTTATATAAATTGTAAAAAATGTTATTATGTATGTACCGTATACCGTATTTTTGTCTGTCTGGCATGACATAATAGCACTAACAATTGTACCATTGTACAATTGAGAGTGCCATTATGTACTTTTTTAGTCTAAAACTTGAACAAATATATAACTACTATTTTTAATAATGATAACGTTACACAACGTTACAATATATATACTTCTAAATCAATATATTTCAGTTACTTTTTTTAGGATCTGCCAGCTGCGGTGCGTCGAGTGTCTCAGTTCCTCAACAAAACGGTGACTGAGGAGCAAATATTGAAACTTTGTGATCACTTGCACATCGATAACTTCAGAAACAATAAGTCAGTAAATTTAGACGAGCTGGAAAAAATTGGTTATATAAAAAACGGCCACTTTATTAGAAAAGGTAATTATAGTTGATAATAGAATACAATCATTTAATGAGTACTTATATTGTAAGTTCATATTTTCTGTACTTATGCAGTCCACATTTTGTATCACTAACTTTACGGTGTAGTTTGTTTGGCTTTAAGAAATAAAAATAATTGATAGAAACTAGGCTGGAACATTTACATTGAAATGTGGGTATGTCAAGTGTTTCGTTCACAACAACTTCTACAGTTAACAATAGAATAGAATAGAAGTAATATTTAATGAAATAAACTTAATCTCAGCACTTTTGAGTAGTCATATAATATTTTTTTATTCTACCGCTCATACCGGAAAGCATCATAAATAGCACAAACAGTGTTGCTCTTTTGGATAAATGCTGTACTTACAGCATTTATCCAAATCCATATTGAATGTTTTGTGTGAATACATACACTCTGCCACGTAACAAATTAGACAAAAGTAAACTCAATGCCTCTGAACAACCGGCCATATGAGATGATGATTTGTGTAATTTTATTTTATTAAAGTTGATATTTCTCCAATCATCAGGCAAGGCGGGCGGATGGCGGTCACACTTCGACGAGGAGATGACGCAACAAGCGGAACGCTGGATGAAGGAGAAATTAGGAGACGTTGGCATACAGTTCCCTAATGTTAACTAATAATTTTTGTGTAAACTGCGTACCTGCAATATATCTGATGACTTGTAACTTTGAAAATATATTATGGCTTTTCTCACCAGTAATTCTATTCACATAATATGGTTATTATAAATGAATTGTATAAAAATATTATAATTGTAACTATATACTAATATTAAATACTACTCTTAGAATAAAATAACTAAGTTTCTTTATGTATTGACATACATATAAGCTTTTATTGTACTAAGTTTATGTTTTCATAAAACCCGACATAAGAATAAATTTATTGATTTTTAGATAGATATTATTAAAACATGAAAGTTGAATATAGTTAATAAATTATTAACTAAGTGGGTTTTTTGCCGTTCTTTTAAAGCTAAGGTAGGGTATGTAATAAAAACTGATGTGCATGAAGTGTCTGCGTATAAAGAAATGAAATGCTTAATTTTATTGGTGTGTAAATCTTGGAAAGGTGACATTTTGGCGTAATTATAAGCTGTTTATTCAGTAGGACTGGTAGGACACAATATTTTAGTATTCGTCATCATACTTATATTTCTTTATATGTACTATATGCACAATGTACTGTACTCAATAACAGTACCAATAGTCTATGAGAAAATGCATATAGTCTTACTGTTCTGTTAACTATCTGTAAAAGTCAAGTTAAACTCTGAATTAAATAAAAAATTGTCTTGTTACGAGTAGCAACTTATAGTCAAATAAGTAACTTTTACAGCCCTAGTACGCACTAGGGCTGTAAACCGTATGTACTAGTTACTAAACCAAGGGGTACTCGTTACTACTGTATTTTTACGTTACTAGATACAAACGACGGCTAATAATATTTTTGGCCGTAGTTCTTAACTATGTACGTTATTATTTTAAAGGTCTAAATATTTCAATTTGTCTTTTAAGAAAACAGTAGTATCTAAGTATCTAGTACTTTAGTCCTTACAGTAAAAAATATTCATCGTAAGCAATGTACTGTATTCAGGCTGATTTCCATGCCGTCCCCTTCCTGTCAAACTCGCAATGATTTCTTGATTGATTTGACTTCATGTTAATTCTATAATCCTTCATTAGTGCTCCGCCAGCGCATATAGGTGCTGTGCAGCTGCATCTTAATCATTCATTAAAAAAAGTGATAAAAATAAACAATGTTCTATACTACTAATATATTATGTTCAACTTCAACTTAGTAACTATGTAGCTATATTAACTATATTAATATAATACCTACAGTAGCTAAATAAGTACAGCAACTACGACTAACCGCAGGCATTATGTAACTACAGCACCTGTAAGCAACTACAGTCACTAGATTCATACGTTCAATAAGTAACTGCTGTAACTACAAAAATTACGAAGTAGCAACATGGTACTTTGGTACTGGTGCTACAGCACTCGTTCCTTTGTACTCGGTACGTACCATTTGATACAGTACTATGGCATACTTAGTTTACGGTCGACTTGTTTTGTTTCTATTTATAACATTGGTTATGGAGAAAATATTGAGATAACCCGCCTGGGGACATAAAACAGTGATATGTGGTGATTCGAACCAATGTTTCATTTGCATTAACTAATTTTTAAAATTCTGATATTTCATTCATTCATTTTGAAATTCTGAAATATAGCACTCCCACAGATAGACACTGAAGCAAGTCAGGAGATCAGTTACCCCATTCCAATACATTGGTCTGCTCGATTTGCATGCGGTCGCATAGAACAATATGGGCTAATTGACAGGCCACTACTATCTAATTTTTATTAACTGGTATGTTTATTATTATGTACTCATCGGGGTAGTAACGGGGCATCAGATAAAAGTTATAATTTCTAAACCTTAGGTTGAACAACGGCGTTAGAATCATGGAGGATGCAATGCAAATAAGAAACCTTGGATACTGGCTGGCTTCAGAATTGGGCTATCAAACGCAAAAGATTGTTTGAAGCAAATTGAAACAAAAACCACGACATTAATATTTTTTAATTCTATATATTCGTAGTATTCATCCACATTGATTATTTTTGTAGCATTGTCTTTTTGCTATTACCAAAACTAAAGGCGTTACGCCCAAGGCGAATGAAGTTTGGGCGTTAATATAAATATATCCTTATTTATAGAAAAACTTGCAAAAAAATAATTATTAATTAATCGTCACACCAGATCATCACAGTAAAGGCAAAAGAAACCATTTATATACATAGATATTATTAAAAAAATATAATAATAAAATATAATATAATGCTTTCTTATACCTAATAGAAGAAATAAAAGTCCTATATTGCAATCTATATATACGTTTAATTAATTTTTTCATTCCTTTTTTAAAGAATTTTGTTCAGGGTCAAATTTGCAAAATTTACGAAATATAATTATTTATTTATGTAACGAAAATTTCTAATCAGGGCAGATCCACTCAATCAGTTCACCAACAGATAGAAAGGGAGAGAACACCTTTCACATGATCAATATTAGTTTGGGTAAATACGGATTATGGATGGATATGCATATCTATATCCGTCTGGTGATACGCTTATCTACTTACAGATATCTCTTACTTCGACATGGAACCTAACGACAAGTTAAAATACTTAACGTCACCGTTAATTATAGACAACTATGACATTGATATAGATATTTGTACTTACAATTAATATGTATAATATTCATATGATATAAGTTTGATAAAATATGACATTTTATTTTACTCTTTTTTTATTTGTAAATCAAATCAAAATTATTATTGATTTTATTTAAAAATGTATTCATGTAGGACACTTTAGCCGCTTATGAACGTTAAATCTTTTGTATTATATTTTTTTCCCTTAAGCTTAGTATACAGATTAATTTTTTTTTAAAGCCAGTTTATTTACTTTGTTTACTTATGTAGGTGTCTATGTCTAATATTAAATTAAAATCCCCTGTGTGAACAACTATTGCCATGCACGCTCGTCATACAAGTAATCGTTTAGTTAATAAATACCTTTGCTCAGTATATTATATTAAAATTATTTAATATTAGTATTATTTTAATAAAAATTTTGCTGGTGTGCATTTAATCTGTACTGTATATCTATTGTATGTACATAAAAGTGGAACTTCTTATTGATTGACATAGTATTTATGAAATTATGGAAGCACCTAAGTAATTATAAAAATTACTACGTCTTTAATACATAAGATATCCTTAATTCAATAAGATCGAAATGCAGCTAAGGATATTTTGAGTGTACGATAAAAACAGCTAATGTATATTTTCCGATATTTCGTAGTTTTAGTAGCAACAAACGAAGACATGTGAAGGTAGACGAATATGTCTGCCTATAAAAGATTTATTTACCTTGTACCCACTGCTCTTCAGATTACCCGTGATCGTGGCGGTTGAAATACTGCTGAAATATCGGGAACTCAATAAAAATAAAACGTGGTAAGATCCCGTGATTTACTAATTATACTTATAAATAATGACCGCGTCAAACTTAAAACAGTATATAGCCACAGATAATATAATATTTTATATAATTGCTAATCTATTATCAGATATTCTGTGACTTTGAGGTGTCTCCTTGTATGTACTTATTCAGGAAAAATATGGTAATAATGGATTAGAATACTATATTGTACCTACAAAACTTTCCGATTTAAGACATATATAAACTATATATAGCCACTTCAGACGAATAGATAATACAATGTCTTATCTAATATTTTGTCGTTTCTTCAAAGTTATTATTCAATTTACAACCAGTTACAAGATTACACTATACCATTTAATACTAACCAATTATTTAAGACATGGCTACTCAGAAAGATAGACCTTTTGAAATTCAGGATGTCCCTACTGAAGAATTACTTCAGCTACATAGCAATGTAGTAGGTAAGTTCATCGCTATATAGTAGAGTTGCTAACCGTCCTGTTTTCTCAGGACATGTCCTAGTTTTTTAGGTTTCCTGGGACGTATTAGAAAAAACCAAGAACGCTGCATATAACAGTGGGTTTTTAAAAAAATCTGTTAAATATTTAAAATTAAGTAAAAAATATACAATTTTCTCAAATACAAAAAATAAAAATTTTGTCTGGCAAAAAGAAAATAGGCTTACATGACTTTAATTATAGTCTATGAAATAAAATTAAAATATTATTTATTATTTACGGCATCAATGGTCTTGTGGTTTAACATAGCGTATTACTTCCGATGATCGCGAGTTCGATTTCGCGCACGGTACAAACGGTGTATTCATAAATATGATTGTTTGTATTGGTCTGGGTGTTTTGTAAGAGAGTCTAAGTATTTAAATCAGTGTCTAATACATATAACACAAGCTCTCTGCTTGGGACTAGATGACGCTGTGTGAATGTTATGGGAAGATATATTTATTATTAAATTTTAAAGAATTAGTCATTTCGGCTAATTTATTCGGATGAACGTGGTTTGGAAGAAAACCAACTACCGACTAACTACTACAACTGGATAAATTAATATATGACCGGCATTATAGGTTCATAAATAAGCAACTTATTAATTACGTATAAATAAATATACATACATATCTCTATAGATGACACTTACTATCTAAATTCTACTTACTCTTACATGCGAATAATTATTTTGCATAATTAGCCGTTATATATTAATTTAAATTTTAAACATCCCTAGGAAATAAGTGTCTAATATATAATAAGATGTACAAAGACATGTAACTAGTTTATTTTCAGGTCCTAAAGTTAATTATATGCGACTGGGCCAAGCCGGTTATTTTTTTCCCGAAGGACATAGAGAGGATTGCTACAAAGTGTACAATATGGAAGTCAGGCCTAGTGATACCTATGTCATCACTTTTCCAAAATCAGGTGAAATAAACAAAATACCTACTAGTGCTTAAATTGAAAATTATCTAATACATTTCAAATAATAGATATGGCAAATAATAAATAGTTGTGATAGAATAATGTCCATTTGATATTTATTATTGAAGAATTACTGAAATAATACACAGGTACAACATGGACTCAGGAACTCGTGTGGTTATTGGGAAATGATCTTGATTACGAGACTGCAGCGAAAATACCGCTTACTAAAAGGTTTCCATTTATTGAGTGAGTACATGTAAATACAAACAAATGTATAATATGTATATATATATATGTTTTAGGTACAAGATATATTTATATGTAGTGTTATGGGTTTCTTGTCTTTTCTATTAATCATTTATTTATTTTGGTAATAACATTGATATTGTGTATGGAATATATTATTAAATACTACAGAACGTATGGATATATAATATACTTTTAACGCATAATAGAAACAAATTAACAAATATTACATTCGTGCTAAATTACATCGTGATAAATTCCAGATGAATCTATCACGATGGTTTCCAGGGGGAACCGCGTGGAGGTCAACCTGACATGGTACATTGCTAGCAATGGGGTCGAGAGTCCACATTACTAACAATCCCTTTCCCCCTCATACTAGGTAGTTAGAAAGAGACATACATAATGGGTTTCATATGACAATAAATCATGTTAGGCATTGCTATGCCTAGCATGATTTATTGTCATCTTAAATAATCAACGAAAATCATTTCTGCAAGCGAAAATCATTTCTGCAAGCTTGTGGCGATACTCTGAACAACCGACCCCGAAAGGTTCCTGAGACAGTTATGCCATTCACAAGAAAATAAGAATATTTTATTTTATTTTCAGATTGCCAATGTATTTTCGTGGTCCAAAAGCGAAAGAGTGGTTTGCAGAGTTGGAAAAAGTAGATCCAAAAATGGAAAAGTTTTGCGAATTCGTCAATGATTATCTTGACACGATTATCGAAGCTCCTTCACCTCGCTTCATTAAGTCTCACCTGGCGTTCTCTCTGCTGCCGCCCAATTTACTGGATACTGCAAAAGTTGTATATGTAGCAAGAGACCCCAGAGATGCCGCCGTCTCCTTTTATCATCATCATCAAATTATGAAAATTAATGGCTTCCAAGGCGATTTTAAAACATTTTGGAATTTATACATTACTAACAGAAGTGAGATATATTCTTTTCTTCTTTCTTGTTCACAATGTTATTTATATTTTGTGAATATTATATTAAGTACATTCATTCGTTCATAATTTAAGAGCGACGCTCTTGTCGATGGAGCTCTTGCCACTTTCCACGATCTTTCGTCATCATGCTCTTTAACCGTCGATACGTCACGTACACAATATAATTATTTTTATTTTTAGTTGAATGGACCCCATTTGGAGCAAATTTAACAGAAGCTTGGGAGAAAAGGCACCATCCCAATATGTTATTCTTGTTCTACGAGGAACTTGTTAAAGTAAGTTGAACTCCGTTCTAAATTTTTCATTATAAATTTTAATCCACATTAACAATTAACTTTACTTTAAATTTAGGTATATCTAGGTATAGTTAATGTCAGGTATAGTATACGTAGCGAGAATTATATTTATTGTACACATTATACAATCGAGATAACATTATAATATATACAATTAAATTACAATTAAGAGCTCCCGATATTTCGATGCACTATATTATGAGCACGATTGTAAAAAGCCATCAAAAATGTTTAAAACAGTTTTATGACAAATTATACATAAGATCACCATAGCACTCACAAATCTAAGATCAAATCTAAGATTACTTTCAATATTGTGTCGGAACTGCACGTCCATTTATTTTTATTTTGGAAATTGACGCTCTCTGAAACTGAAACTCTCGCCACATTCTACCACATCTAAGATAACGGTCTTGAAAGTGTATATATGATACTTAAATATGTAAAATGTGAATACTATAACTATCAGATGGCAATTGTGAGTAGCTTTGACGTGGTCTAGTGTTTTGAGTAGTCATGCTCACTAAAATGTCCAGACTTGTGGCGGCGTGGTGGGCCGGGTCATTGGGCTCCCTAAAATATGGTCGAGCGCAGTGATGGCTGGCTCATCCGTCATACTCGTGAACGGGTGCTGCTTGTAGGGACTGGTCTGCTCTAATCACTATGACTGATTTCCTCTTATTAATTGTTTAACCAGTTGGTTATGTATTCAATATTTTTTCTTTTTGAGTATTTAATTGAATTAGTGCTAATTGGTGGTTTGTACTCACACACTTAAACTTAAAAATGTAAAGTAATAATAAAATTATTTAATAAGAGCAACACGCAAGTCTCTTGCTCGTTCTTCTTGTGATGAGACAGCTTTCCGAACGAGCGGTAGATTAAAAAAAAATGTAATGACTATTCAAAAGTGCTTCAGTGTAAGTTTATTTGAATAAATGATTTTCTATTCTATTCTATTCTTAAAGTACGATTATTTTCCTCTTCAAATTCTATGAAATGGGACATTAATTCAACCAGTACATATTTGCAATAGGATCTGCCGGCTGTGGTGCGCCGAGTAGCGCATTTCCTAAACAAGCCGGTATCAGAGGAGCAGGTAGCGCGGCTCTGCGACCACTTGCACATAGACAATTTTAGAAACAACAAGTCCGTCAACTATGACTACTTAAAAGAAATTGGAATGATGGTACCAAACGGCCAGTTCGTTAGAAAAGGTATGTGTAGATATATTAATTTTGTTATTTGAACTCTCACTTATGCATCCAGCTGTTTGCATCTGTTTTGCAATATTCAAATGCATCATTGTACGGGTCCTACTAACATTTCATCTCGATTGATGAACTCGGTATTCCAGCGGTTTAGCAGACCTCGTTATTTCTAATGGTCGTTGGTTCGATGATACAAAAATATTATTTTATAAATTTAAATACTTTTATTTTTTTTATGTAAAATAAGTGTATATATAGTAACATATGTATATATATATATATAAGTAGTATTTAAATATACGTTTTTTAAATATTGTATTATAATTATATCAGTTGGTTAGTATCCGTAGTAGAAGTTTTGGATTAGAAGACTTTTGAATTATCTTGAATTGTCCTCTGTATTGTTGGTATTATTTGTAATAATACGGGCAATATGCCTTAATTACATATACCTACATATTTTTTATATTATCTATACATTTATTATAATTCAGTATCAAATTACAGGAAAAACCGGCGGATGGCGCGAATACTTCGATGACGAGATGACACAACAAGCGGAAGTTTGGATGAAGCAAAACCTCCCTAATGGGGCGTACAATTTATGAATATAACGCAATCATGTGCCTCATCATATTTACCTGTTGTCACTAATCACAGCGGCTCTATCACTAAAACAGTATGATATTATTATCAGAAAGGGTGTTACGGAGTCGCTCACAGACTTTGTTCTATGCCTATAACATATTATTTCTAAAAAATAAGGAAAAGATTCAAATGAGTATCATATTTCTGAAAACAATATCAATGAAATTAGGTAAAAAAAGTAGCTTGTTATAACGACTACTAAACTGACAGTAGTTGTTCAGTATCTATACAGTATACCACACATATTGTCAACATCACACTACGGCAGTATTTTCTATGCCACACTCACATTTAGAAGTAATAACTATGGATTTTTATATACCTAATAGTTTTTTATTTCAACCTAATCACCTATATCTACATAGCATTTCATAATAGGATGAAGAATTGAAAATTATAAGGTAAAAGAAAGACAGAGAAGGCAAATTTCTATGTTTTTCGTTCGCACTTAAATGGCTCATTCAATAATATTGACTAAATAAAATATAATATCAATTCGACGTGGTCTAAGATTGATAACGCCTATTTGCTACAAGATATAATTTTCATGCAAGTAAAATATGCTATTTGCTGTCCGCCAGGAGCTCAGTAAAGATATTTTTTTCTAGTAAATACTGGTTTTATTGTTATTCAGAAGAGACATGTTCTGAATTCATCATAAAAATTTAATATAACAAATCCAACATTTTGGTTCGACGGTTTGTACTAACGTCACATTCAACCCAAATGGTCTGCAACGCGCACGTGACACCTGTGTTGTTTCACGCATTCATAGACTACGGTAATTGTTTACCATCAGATGGCCCGTATTATATTAATTGATTGCCACCGCTGTCATATAAAAAATCATTACTAATATCACAACCCATTTAGGTAGTGTATGAATATGGAATATATGAACAATATAGTGCCTATTTTTAGAGTATGTTTATAATGAAGTCTTAATTTTACATATGTGTCACAAACATAAATAAACCTACGGAATCTATAATTTGTATAATTCCCAGACTGTGTATTAATATTATCTATCTTATCTGTGGTATTACTGTAGCTCAGTAGAGTTAAAAATATTATATTGCAGGTACCTACTGGAATCTAAGCCGCAATCATAGGACATTACGTAAAACTGCTATAAAGGTCGTCAATATTTGTCTGGGTTTGACAATACGTGTCTACGAAACTCTACTTTTTATGGAATTACACACAAATAAATAAATAAAAAAACATCCCAGTAACCTTGTCTGCTTTATTAAATATTACTGCCGCCTTTTGTCTATACAAATAAATTAATATTCCATGTAATTTAAACAGCGACGCCAATCGTATAACCATACCATACATTCGCAGTTGTGCGCGCGCCTTTTACTGGACTGCTCGTTGCGCGCGCGCACTTTCTCTACGTCATTCGTATCAGGTTAATATCTGGGCCACGCGACATTATCTTTACAATAAGTTAACAACAAAGACGCGAACTAAAAAATATAACAATGAACAATAAAACAAACAATAACTTCCCTCTAGAAATAGAAGATGTTCCGCCGAAACAAAGTGAAAATCTCATGAAATATTTTACTGGTAAGTCTAAAAATTGTTTGCTCTCATGATTAAATTTTATTTATACATACCTATGTCGACATAAGATAACAATATTGATTGTATGTCTATATTTAATACCAATTATTATTATTTATATACGATAAAGAAGCTTGTTGACCTATTTGAAGGTAAGTAGTAACTAGCGCATAAATAAGTACCAGAACAATGTTATGAATATCATTAGAATAGACTGTGCATTCAATAGTATTTACATAAATTAAAATATTGTACATAGATCGTAGGATACAGTAGCTAGAGGTCCTCGTACTGAACTCTTGAGAAAGATATAGTGTTGAAGTTGGCACGACCCCAGGAGTGCCAAGTCGTCAACATGAACACCTCGGGAAGTTTTACATCATCATGATACACTATTTGTAGATTACAATATTTTTTTATTTTTCCCATCGCACGATGTGAAAATTAATAAATAGATTTAACTACTTGAACTGAAAATAATCTCACAACATTTGCTACGTTATGGTCGTAGAACAGCATCCAGGGCATAGTTAACAGGCCAGATAGAAGTAATTTTTCTATATGTCTATGACATAACATTAATCTACACATTTAATTGGATATATTGGTGTTATAAGTAAGCATTGGCTGTCTTCTCCTGTTTTATGAACAAATAAATACTAAAATAACACTATGTACAAACAAGAAATTGGACAGCCACTAAATAGATTATTACGCATATTATTGCGTTGTTAGCGTAATATTTTAATATTGTAGTTCCTGTAAAATGGAACATTAGACCTCTCATAAACCCTGCTTTATACTAAAAAATATATTTATGAAAATGCTTCAAAAATACTATGTAGTATTGAATTTCCAACAGTCACAAAAAACACGGCAATATTCAAATATATTTTATTATAGTAGGTACAATCTAATAGGCGCATTCATTTTATGTTTATTTATTTAAGATAAATAAAAGTGAGGACACTGACTGACCTGTAGCCAGTGATACAAGGTCTTCAGACACCTAGTATATAGGTGCAGAGGCTATGTCCCCACAAAGTCGAGTTATGTCGTTACAATTTCGGGTTTAAAATTATTCTATCAGTTTCAAGCAAAACAAACAATCATAGACTTATATAGTCTATGATTGTTTGTTTTGCTTATATAATATAATAAAGTAAAATAATGAAAATAATACTTGATTTTAATTCACCAATTACAATATTTTACATTAACTATAGTGTCTGACTAGTGACTACACTACTCGCTATAAGAGATGAGAAGAGGTCTGGATGAAGTCGAAGAAATTATTGTAAAACACGCATAGTAAGTTATTTAAATTCACGTTATAACTATAGTAAAAATTAATCATAAGTTTCTTTAAAAAATATAACAATATAAATGAATTCTCATGCTCTATTTCCCATGTTACACAAAATTTATTCACAATTATGTACTTAATACCTGATAAAGATACAAAAAATAATAAATTAAATTAAAAGCTTTCGTAGTCACAGTATAATGTTAAAATACATACATGAATGTTAATACTGAAAGAAAACTTAAAACTTGTATTTTTATAATATAATCTTGATGGCATGACTACTAATATGCGACATTATATCGTCTTTTTTAACATTTTACTAACGAAAGTAAATGATTTTATATGTTTATTACCTCGTAGTGTCTTCATGTCTAAACTAATCGTCATGAACTTTGTCATCAGCTACCTACTGTTTAAGTTGGTTACAAATTGTATTTTGTTCTGTTAGCATAGTTTTTATTCTATACAGTAATTTCTTGCTTATACTCGTATGTAATAATTATTTATTTTGTATTCCCCTTATGTCAATTGGAATCACAATACATATAAACAAATGTCTTATCATTTCAAAGCAGAATTAACATGGCACCGAACAATAGTCGGGTGGTGTGAAACTTATGCGTATAAATCCATGTTATTATACAATTGTGTTATCAGCAGCAAATGAGACTGCAAGTTTGCTATGTGTTAGATATATGTTATCTAACACCGAAATTTCAGTAAATAATAAATGTATGTAGGAATGCGAAACTCGTTTAATATTGAAATAGGGTCAGTAGACAGAGAGTGACTTACCTTTCACATGATTTCGATAAAATTATTACTAACAATGTCCTAAAAAATATTATTTCTGCCTTTTTGTTGGTTGGTTATGGTCAATAAAGTTTCGATTAGCCCTAGCCACAGATAACATATTATTAGGCACATACCTACCCTAGCTACCCTGTTCTCAGGCTGACTGAATTGAAACATGTAAATACTTTATTTACCTTAAAAATATCAGTATTAAGATCCTAATAAACTATATTAAATAAATCATACCTACAATTATCACATTGTTAGGAGAAGACACTTAGTGAATAATGTCAAAAGATAAGCCGTAAGCACGGTTCCGTGCGGATATCTATTATTTAAATTATCGACTTTTTATGTAACCATTTGAATTAGGAATTTATCTCAGCATAAAACAAGTTTATATTGCACCAACGTATTATGACGTTATTTATAAATTAAGTAATAAATCTGTATTGTTGTATGTACATACTATATACCTACGTCAAGGTCTGTACAATCAGGAAACCAAAAATAATAAACGAACCGTCAAGCACGAGTCCGATAGAAACGGCAATTATAATTATCTTGCCGTGGTTTTTAGTTACTTCTGGTTAAGTTAGCAAATAGTAATCTGTACTTTTGGCCAATTCACCTTGATAAATAAATATTGGCATTCACAATACATTATGAATGTCTCAAACCTTTTACTTAGCCAGTGTCATAGTATGTTTTTTAATTTAACTTAGTACCTAATATGATCGATATAAAACAAATTTCCGCCCTTTCTCTTTTAATTATTTATATTTTTACATACCCTAGCTGTGCTCACAATGACTGAATTGAAACGTTCGAGAGATGTAAATACTTTATTTACCTTTAAAATATAAGTATTATGACCATAATAAACTATATTACGTAATTCATACCTACAATTACTACATTGTTAGTAGAAGGCACTTAGTGAATAGTATTAACAGAAACCGTAAGCACGGTTATTTATAAATAGGTCGTAATAGTAGAAAATTTGTTCAAAATAGTATGCTATATCAAAAGACGTCATAAAAACGTGTTCATGTACCTACCTATATAAGCGACCACTTACCATCACATGGCCGTCAGCTTGTTTACCATTGCAATTAATGTAATTGGAAAAAGTCCATATTTAAACTAAGTTTATATAAACATTTCATTTTCTGTATTAAATAGAAATATGTACTTTACTATTTGCCTGATGTACGATGGAGAAGTCGAAGCACTATAACGATGATGGAAATAATAATTACAAAATAATGAAATAACTAATTCTAGATACCTACTATCTATATGATACTTCAACTAATATGTAAACATAAGAAAAAATATTATTAAAGGTGTTGTCATTAAAAATTATATATTTGGATTGGTTGTATTAGGCCTGTTATTACAAGTAATGAGTTTTAAGTATTTGTAATAAATTCATAATATTTTATCATAACAATCCATCTATCCATCATCACAAGCAACAACCATTTTATGCCGCAAAGCAACAAGTGGTACTTATAACAGGTGGGCACTATTCACAACTTGGTGCCCACCTGTTATAAGTACCACTTGTTGCTTTGCGGCATAAAATGGTTGTTGCTTGTGATGATGGATAGATGGATTGTTATGATAAAATATTATGAATTTATTACAAATACTTAAAAAAACAAAAAAAAGACAAAACTCGACTTTGTGGGGACATAGCCTCTGCACCTATCTACTAGGTGTCTGAAGACCTTGTATCACTGGCTACAGGTCAGTCAGTGTCCTCACTATTATTTATCTTAAATAAATAAACATAAAATGAATGCGCCTATTAGATTGTACCTACTATAATAAAATATATTTGAATATTGCCGTGTTTTTTGTGACTGTTGGAAATTCAATACTACATAGTATTTTTGAAGCATTTTCATAAATATATTTTTTAGTATAAAGCAGGGTTTATGAGAGGTCTAATGTTCCATTTTACAGGAACTACAATATTAAAATATTACGCTAACAACGCAATAATATGCGTAATAATCTATTTAGTGGCTGTCCAATTTCTTGTTTGTACATAGTGTTATTTTAGTATTTATTTGTTCATAAAACAGGAGAAGACAGCCAATGCTTACTTATAACACCAATATATCCAATTAAATGTGTAGATGAATGTTATGTCATAGACATATAGAAAAATTACTTCTATCTGGCCTGTTAACTATGCCCTAAATGCTGTTCTACGACCATAACGTAGCAAATGTTGTGAGATTATTTTCAGTTCAAGTAGTTATTAAAGGTGTTGTCATTAAAAATTATATATTTGGATTGGTTGTATTAGGCCTGTTATTACAAGTAATGAGTTTTAAGTATTTGTAACAAATTCATAATATTTTATCATAACAATCCATCTATCCATCATCACAAGCAACAACCATTTTATGCCGCAAAGCAACAAGTGGTACTTATAACAGGTGGGCACTATTCACAACTTGGTGCCCACCTATTTGAAGCTGATGTTAAAATTGTATAGAGATACAAATAAAAACAAATCATGCCTTAATAATTAGTCTGTTTTTTATATCTGTTAAAGCGACATCTTCGGCAAAAATGCTTAAAACATTTTTTAAATATGCAACCATAGACTTCATAAGACCTAAGTTAGTGGGTACTATCTACACCTACAAATGCTGTTTATTGAATGCCAATATTATACTAGTCTATATATTATTTTGCAGGTGAGTTGACAGGATTTGTCCGCGTGGGCCCGAAAGGTTATTTCTTGCCTCACAAGTATAAACAAGAAGCCGCCAATATCTACAACATGCCAGTTAGAAGCGACGACATATTTGTTGCCAGTTATCCACGATCAGGTATGTAGTTCCAATATATTTCATTGGAAGAGATTATATAAGAGTATTATTTATCAATGCCTAAATAGGTACCGTACTATACCTATGTCCATAATTTTAATATACCTACAACAAATTTTGGAGCTTATCGCAGTGATATGTAGGTACATATAATAAACTCGTAAATCATCTTTTACCTATTTAATTTAAACACACACGTGTGTTTAAATTAAATAGAAAGGTAAGAAAACAAATTTGTACACATAATTATCGAGGTCACACTCAATTTTCGTCCGTGCGTTTGTGTATGCTAATCTCAGTAAAGGCTTAACCGAATATTATGCGGTTTTTACGTACTGCAGCATGCTTTCCGTAACATTTAATGTCCGTTTCATTGCAATCGGTACACATACAAAAATATCAGAATATATGTTATTCAAAATACTATTCGTTTAATAAGTTGCAAGGACAGCTAGGCTTAAATAAATTCAATAAACAATTATCATATCGTATTAAAAACTTTTGAAATTCTATAAATTAAGTCAGTAGTAAAAAAATGTTTGATGAAATCCATATTAAAATGCAAAAACCGGTTTCTTATTACCATGATAAAAAAGCGAATACTTTCTTGAGTATTCATAAAAGCATAATTCGTTCTGACGAGAGTATCAGAAAGTGGTACAGTATGATATAACAATTAAAAGCATATTACCTACAATGTTAAGCAGTAAATCGACAGCCTCGGTGGTCTAGTGGTTTAGCACAACGCTTTATTATCCGATGGTCGCGGGTTCGATTCCTCGCACGGTACATTTGTATTCATGAGTATGATTGTTTGTATCGGTCTGTGTGTTTTCTATGTATAATATGTATTTACAAAAAATAGTGTATCCATGAATTTATATCAGTTGTCTAGTACCCATAACACAAGCTCTGCTTAGCTTGGGACTAGATGGCGCTGTGTGAATTGTCCTGAAAAAAAACTAAATTCCGATTTCTTGAAACCCCAATTTTGGTGACATCCCTTTGTCAAGTAGAAAACGGGAGTCGATAGTTTTAAAGTGCCTTAAATATTTATAAATAGAATGTTAATAATATCTCATAAATATTTGACACAGCGCCATCTAGTCTCAAGATAAGCTGAGGCTGAGCTCGTGTTGTGGTGACTAGATAACTAATATAAATAGATAGATACATTTATCATATTTTTTTTGTAAATACATACTTAATATACATAATAAACACCCATACCAATTCAAAGAATTACTCATGAATACAAATGCTTTCACCGTGTGAGTAATCAAATCATGACCATCGGAAGCTAAGCGGTACGCTGAACTGCAAAACCACCCAGGCCCGTTACTTGTACGACATGGTTTTAGTTACATTTTATAATAGATATTTTTAATTCGGGATTACTTTTTTCAATAATTACAGAGGCCAAAAGCAAATATGTACATAGATAAATAAATGCTTGTTCGCTACTACCTACTCACTGGTGAACAATGGTCCAGATACAATTACAACGAGGTTCAAAAGCAACTGAAACGAAGATGCACTTACTTTTACGAGTAGATACCTAGTGAAGTTATATTTATTTCAAACGATTCTGTTTTATTATTTACAGGTACTACATGGACTCAGGAGTTAGTATGGATGGTCGCAAACGACTTAGACTATGCGGGATCTGACGCCGTGCCTCTCACAGAACGATATCCGTTTTTAGAGTAAGCAGAAATAATATTATATAATTACGCCTTTCAGGTGCAGAGGTATAATACAAGAAAAAGAGGTATAATGCCCTAAAGAAAGATATTGCATGACCAACCCAGATAACCATGTCACACACCCTGAAATATTGATGGTATTGCATGCAACGATCTCCAGTTTTTATTTACCGATACAAAACGTACAAGAACGTAACAATATCAGTCATAGGTATGCACATGTAGATAATGCATACAAGCAAGGAAATGTAAATATTTTTGTGTCTCATCATAATAAATGTAACTCGTTTGGAGTCAACCACGTTAATGAGGCAAAAAAAATCTGAAATGTGTACATATTATTTGGTTCTGACTGTAAGTTTTATTAATGTATTATTAAAATAAATCATAAATACAGATTTTCAGTATTCGTCCATCCAATAATGAAAGAAAGATTCACCGCAGAAAACAGTCACAGTGAGGACAAGTTACATCTCTTAGATTTAGTCACGCAACCCGGAAGTGAACAATTAGCCAACATTCCGTCTCCTCGATTCATCAAGACTCACTTACCCATGTCCTTGTTACCGCCGAAATTGCTGGACGTTGCTCGAGTTGTTTACGTGGCTCGGGATCCCAGAGACGTCGCTGTATCATTCTATCATCTAAATAGATTAATAAGGACGCAAGGCTACAATGGAGACTTTCAAACTTATTGGAATTTCTTTGTCCAAGACCTCCGTAAGTTATTTAATATTTCATAATAAACTTTTTTATTCATTGAAAAAAATTGAACACACGCAAATGGGCCTAGTAGACAGCTAAAATATGTAATAGTTATATGAGGTTACAGTCAAATATTGTCGGACTATACTGTGGACGGTTTGTTTTAAGAAATTGAACGGTAATTGTTTATTGACAAAATGTTAAATTTAACAAGCAATAAACTTATTTATATTTTAAAAGGAATATAGAAAAATAAATTTTAAATCTATAAATCAGTAGTAAATAAGTTAACCAGCCCATTTTATTCTTTTCAAATCAATTTTGTTACGAGGTACCATATACCTAATAAGAAATGTTTGGTAAAATAATCACAAAAAGTACAATTATGTAGGTAGGCATGTATTTATAATAAATTAAATATGTTAATTTACTACATGAAAATTATTTCAGACCACTGGACACCGTATTTTGAACACCTGAAAGAAGCGTGGAACCAGAGGCATCATCCTCGTATGCTCTTTTTATTTTATGAAGAATTGTCTAAGGTAAAAGGAATGCGTAATATACAGATACACAATATACACAGATAATATAATATTGTAATATTAATAAATTAATCAGATTAAATAATGGTGATGAATATGAATGTTGTGATTAAATTTCAAAATATAAAGCGTTTCTAACTGGATCGGTAAATAATTAATGAGAAAATTCCAATAATCCAAGAACCTACTTTTTCATCTATACATATAAATAAAATTGGAGCGTCTTTTTTTAATAACCGTTTTGTATAAATACGGTACATATACCAAAATAGCATTTTTTACAATTTTTGTCTGTCTGTCCATCTGTTTGTTCCAGCTAATCTAAGAAATGGCTGGACCGATTTTGACGGGACTTTTTTGGCAAGTAGCTGATGTAATAAGGAGTAACTTAGGCTACTTTTATTTTAGTAAAATTCTTTAATTTAGAAAAATAAAGTTAAATTACACGCGGACGAAGTCGCGGGAACAGCTAGTACGTAATAATATTAGTAAATAGGTAAAATAGTATTTGTTGGCTCAACAGTCTTCGTCATATACGCCGACGTACACAGGTGTCAGAACTATACTATTGTAGATATCTATAATTAATGTCATATATTTTTCCAGGACTTACCGACAGCTGTTCGCCGCGTAGCGGAGTTTCTAGGCAAATCTTTCACAGATGAACAGGTCAATCGTCTTTGTGAACACCTTAGCATTGACAACTTTAAAAACAACAAGTCCGTCAACTACGATGTCATGAAGGAACTGGGTATTCTCATCCCTGGAGAGCAGGCGTTTATCCGTAAAGGTAATAATATACTGGAATATACCTACCTTATATAAAATTTAGTCATTGTTATAGTAAACCCAACCCAATAATACTTTTTTTTATTGAAGGCTTTAGGTTATTGTTGGATACTGCACTGGAGCACTGCAAACTACGTAGATCTATTGTACTCGCTCTTTTTCAAAGTTTGATGCCTATGCCTACAAGAATTAAAGAATATTCTAAGGAGCGATGGAATAGCGTAAACTTTCTAAAGGAGATATTTCGTTTATGCAATAGGACTACAACTAGAACTATTCAATTTGCAGTCACCTGTGAAAGCCCTAGTCATGATGTATATATATATATATGTTGTTTTTACTCAATAGCAATAGTCTATTGGGAGTATTTGTATAATAATAATTAATCTATTCAAATATTTTTGTAGGAAAAGCGGGAGGTTGGCGTGACTACTTCGATGACGAAATGAGTCGACAAGCTGAAAAGTGGATCGCAGATAATCTACGTGACACGGACTTCCGATTCCCACATTTACATGGACAATAATTTTTAAACCAATTTATTACAATCTAATGATTTGTAAGTAAATGCTTTGTTTTAAAGCATTTACTTACAAATCATTAGATAGTATATAATACAATATCTATGTGGGAAAATATTCCAAGATTTTCAGCAGTTGTCAAATAAGTGTATGTCAAAAATCGCTTCCAGTTAGGTAAATAGTGAAAAATGCAAGTAAAGCAAAGTGTAGTTAAGTCCACTGCCATTGTGTACCACCATGATGGAACTATCAAGTCATTGCTGCAATTTTAGCACAAGTTCGGTATCCGAGACGTCGAGCTATCAATCTGATCGACAAATTATTGGTTGTGTGATAAGTCGAACCAACATATTGGTGTGTAGAGAGAAAGTATAACTTCTACATTCCAAATAATTTCGTATGTCTACATACACTTAGTTATAATAAATGTACATAAATATTTTTATATATGTATATGATCAATTATTATTAAGTCATATGCATTTTATTTTTACATATTTAGATTACTTTATATTGTAATATTCAAATGCTCAATAGTAAGGTAATAATAAAAAACGAAAACAGGGTGATAATCATTTATTCCAATAAAATTGCTCTATTTTAGTATTTCTTTGTAACACCATGATATTTAAGTTTACATCGACATAATAAGTAAGCTATTATGAATTTAAGTAAACAATATTATTTTAATTGTGTATATTCACTTCAACTATATTATAATTTTATACCCTTTATAAATAAAACAATGTCTCAGTCCTTCTTCGCTTCTTTTTTTTATTTAAATAATACGGTTATACAAAGAAAATAAATTAAAAAGCCAGATTTTTAAATCAATCATTCGTTGGTAATATAAAAATCTAAAACAGACTTATAATAATGGAGATAATAACCGTTTAGCGGGCGCGCATCGAGCGACTGCGACCTACGTCACCGGCTAGTCAATGCTGCGTAAAACAATAAACAGTGACATTTTAAAAGACGATCCTCAACACCGGTGGAGCGGCCGCAGTCGGCCGGCCGCGCCCACGCAACTACGGGCTGTGGCCCGCGCATAACGAACTGCAACGTACACTTCTATAAAAAGCGACTATATAGTATAAAACTGGGAGGAGCCTCCCGCACCTAACGACTCGCCGCTACGAACGACGTTAAAACTATCATACACTTATAGAAAATCACAAAATTCAAAGCGGAAATAATAGGAATCGAATCACTTGTGGCGCGTTCACGCGATCACGTCTGGGAGCAGAGCGTTGTCGGCGGCGGGCGGACTCGGCGGCGGCTTCGTCAATTCCGGTTCTAGTGCACCATTCGTCAGTCCGTTTGTCTGCACGATCTCTTTCTTGGGCGACTCTACAGGTTTCTTGGGCACCGGCTTTGCTGATGTGCTCTTTGTGTTTGTAGGAGCCTGTGAAGTTACAATTGTTAAATTACAACATCTATATTTATATATAAAAATGAATCACTATTTTCTTGGTCACGGCATCACCCGTGAACGTCTGAGCCGATTTTACTAATAATTTTTTGTTGTGTTTATTATTATCAGAATTTTCTTATATAAGAATAAAATTAAGAAAGTTGAGCGAGACATTAATATGGTTGTTAACTTTTATTTAATGTTTGCCTACTATCTAAGTACAATGCGCAGAGTCAATATTTAGAGTTAAGACAGGACATCTGTCGGGTCAGCTAGTAAGAATGTACAGTGAAAGCAGTGGCTGTTTTATATGACGTTATTTTTGGCGAAATTCACCAAGCATTCCATTTTATTTCATTTTTAATAGTAAACGGCACAGAGTATACTAAAATAAAAAGTAAAGTCAAGAAATATCACAATATAATATAAACCCACATCAAAATACCTTTATTTTGTGGACGTAACTACACAATAGGTGGTAGTACAATGCAGGCTGCTCAGGGATGCTGCAAGTAGTTTCTCCCAACCACAATAACCTAAAGGATTGCGAGATCAAATGGCTGTTTGACGACTATATAGCTTGAATACCTAACATCTATAAGAGTGACTAAGTTATTGAAATCGTAATGGTAAAAAAAGTATACCTTTGTGGCGGCAGTCCTTGGTGGAGCGGCCTTGGCAGTTATACGTTTGTTCGCGAGATCCTTCGTTTGCTTGTCTAAGGGTTTCGTTGTGACGGGGGCTCGGGGCGCCGGCTTTGGAGCAGCAGTCCTATAAAATATACATATTATTTGGTTAAGATAGACAAACACACTAACGCATTGCATAGTAATTAGATTTATTTTAATGTGCAAACTAACTGACGACCCACCTGATGAAAAATGTTTGCCGTCATGTATATACATGAGTCAAGTGTTTGTCATGCCCACGGTTCATGGTAATACTCATGTGTTGCCTTACCTAATGGAGATTAAATAACAAGGGTGGATTGGCGCGAGGGACATGGACATTTCACGGTTACATAACATATAACCCTGACAGGATTGATAGGTTACGTAATCTATATATACGGCACATGGATGGTATGTTAGTCCGTGTGTATGATAGGTACAAGTGTAAGCGTAGGACTCACTTGGGAGGTGCGGGTGCGGGCGCGGCGCGGGGCCCGGGGCGCGGCGCGGGGCGCGCGGCGGGCGGGCGGCTGGTCGCGCGCGGCGGCGCCCTGCTCGCGTCCTTAGCGTCGCCGTTGGTGAGCGGCTTCTTCTCAGTCACTTTCGGCTTGGCGACTGCCTCCTTGGGCTTGGGCGCGGCGGGCGCGGCCGCGGCGGCGGGGCGGGGCGGCGCGGGGCGCGCGGCGGCGGGGCGCGGGGCGGGGCGCGCGGCGGCGGTCCGAGGCAGCGCCGGCTTGGCGGCGGGCGCGGCGCGCGTGCTGGCCGCCGTCTTGGCGGCGGCGGTCGGCTCCCGAGCCGCAGTCGGCTTCGGCGCGGCCGCGGTCGTTCTCGGAGCGGCGCTGCGAGTCGGCGCGGTCGCCGGCTTGGCCGCGGATGCCGTCGTCTTCGTACCGGGAGTCGCCGGCTTCGCCGCAGTCCGCGCCGCCGTCGCCGGTCGCGACGAGGGCGTCGTGGACGCCCGCGCGGGCGCGGTCGCCGACCTGGATGTGGGCGTCGTGGCTGCCTTGGCCGTGGGCGTCGTCGTAGTGGGTTTCTTGGTCGCGGAGGCGGGCGTCCTCGGACTCGCCGCCGGTTTCGATGCGAGCTTGGTCGCGCGACCGTCGGCCTTCGCCGTCGGTGTAGTCGGGGACTTCTTAGCGGGCGTCTTGGACTTGGCGGTCGCGGCGACTGCGGCCGTGGCGCCTACGACCGCGGCGGCGGCGGCGATGGCTACGGACGCCGCATTCGACTGCACGTCGGGGGCGACGTCGGCGGCGATTTGCGTCTCTTTGAGCGGAGACGCGACGAGAGCGGCGTCCGGCTGCGGGGCCGAGGGCGCCGGAGACGAGGTAGGCTGCAGTACCGAATCGTCGGTATAAATTTCATTAGTGACCGGCATGCAGATCTCTTGCGCTCGCGACTCCAGTTGTTCGATGTCTATATCGGTGACGAGTTCGGAATGCGTCTGTTGCTCGATATCGTCCCGTATGGGAGGTAATAAGTCGGGTGTCGGACCCGAGGCTGTCTGCGGTGTTGTAGACTGCGCGTCCGCCTGTTCGCTCGGTATCTCAGGAGCGAGTCTCTCGTCGACGGCGGGCGTGCGGAGACACGCGTCGAAATCGACTATATTCGTAGCGAATTCGTCGGGTAGGGGAGATGCACCGTGTGGTGACACAGTGTCGAGTCGAAGCGCGGATTCGGGTCCGGAAGACTCCGTCGTCGGCGCGTGGTCGACGAGTGAAGGCGATTCAACCGGAACGAACTCCTCCCTCGAGATCGACGACTCGATGGGGAGGGAAGATTCCACCGGGAGTGGTGACTCTGCAGGCAGAGGTGATTCGACAGGGAGCGGTGATTCTCTAGGTAATGGAACTTCGGCCGGCAACGGTGACTGATCGCGCAACTCCTTTTCAGTCAGCGTCGGAGAATGTGAAAGTACTGGTGATTGTGCATGAGCTAATTCGGGTTCTGGAATTGGTGACTGTGCGAAACCTGGTGTTGGAGAGGCTGTAGAAGCTGCAAATGTTGTTTCTTCCGGGGCGAGGTCTGTAGAAACTGGTATTGGGGACAATGCAGACTCTGAAGGTAGTGGCGATTCAGGTACTGGAGATTTCAATGGATAAAGTGATTCACTTGGAATTGGTGAGTTGCCCAATATTGGTGATTGAGTTGATTGCAATGTCTCTGAAGGCACTGGAGACTGTGATGGAAGAGGGGAATCAGATAATTGTATTGATTGTGATAGTAACGGTTCTGTGAGCAAGGGTGTTTCTGCAGTTGGAACTGGGTCCTGATTACTATCCAATTTTATATCTACCTCAGAAATTATATCATCAGTTATCGGAGCATTGTAACCCAGTTCATCTAAATTGGATTCATTGGTATGGTGTACATCAACAACAACATTTTCCTTTGTATCTTGAGTCAAATCTGGTGTGGTAGCCTCTTTAATTTCATTTTCCTGTACTGATAAAAGAGACTCTGGTACTTGTTCATTAGAAACATGATTATCCAAACTAAATACCGTCTCTGATACTATTTCATTGTCTTTATCCTCTGGATATTGCTGTGATTCTGAAGAAACCTCTTGTTCCTTAGAAAAGACATCTCCAATGAGATCCTCTTTGAATTCAAGCTGTATTTCTGCATCTGGTGAAATATCTGGTTTACTTTCCATATCAACATCTTGTGATATATCATCTTGGGGAGTGAATGCTCGGGTGTCCTTTTCACTTTCTGAAGGATCTTGTAAATCTTCATTTGTGAAACCTAATTCGGAACTTTTGCCATCTGGTATTTCAGGGATTTGTTCAAATAATAATTTGTGAGATTCAGGAGTATCAGTTTGTAATACTGTATCTTGAGGAACATTACTACTTTCAAATTCCAAATTAGGGTAATTCTGTATATTACTGCCATCTACATTGTAATCTATAAAATTATCTCCTTGCTCAAATTTACCTACATCATTTTCAGGTAGGTCTGATGGTCTACAATCAAACCTCATTATATCATTATTAGGTTCTTGAATATCTATATCTGATGGCAAAATCTCTGTATGTTTGTCAGGTAAAACATTTTCCTTGTCATTTTCATTGAGGGCATCATAAATTCCATTTGACTGTATATCCTCATCATCACTATCAGGCAGAGTCTGCACTGCATTAAGGTCTACATGAGAAGTATTTTTATTCAGTCTTTCACATGTATCATCATCTTTTTCTTGATAAAAACTCATGCTCATAGGGTCTCTCTCCTTATTTTTTAGCCTTTCAAGCAATGCATCATTATCATCCGATGCAAAGGGGTTGGTTTCACTGTGTGTTTGGAACACCTGAAATAAGAAATTTATCTCATTAATCACTTTAAGGCAATTCATTACTAGTTTGTACCATTATCCATTCTGCCATTCATTTGTAATGAGAACAAATGTAAACAACTATAGAAAACATGACATTCTTGATATTAGTAACGTTTTAAATAAATAGACTATAAAAATATAATAATAGTGACTAATATCCTTTTAGTATTACAAATTAAATCTTAACTTTAAAAAATTCTATATAAATCGCAGTTACTATCTTACATAGCCTATATGAACATTAATAAATTCCGAGTAGATATAACCACTACTAACCTGTATATTGCAGAAGTCAGTAGTGTCCTTCTGTATCCTTTCAAAATCTTGTATAAAATCTGTATTTGTGACATTTTCAGTATCCTTGCCTACATTGAATCCAAAGCCCAAACTGTCCATATTGCATTTTTCATTTCCATTTAAATTACCCGTTTCATTTATTGACACATTCTGTAATAAAATGCAAAAAACATTATAACATAAATAACATATATATAATTGGTTCCACAAAAAAATCTGACGAATAATATAAGACAATACTAAAATATTGTTTTATTAATATAAATTTTAATAAGACAATACTAAAAACAACAAACTTTATTGAAAACCACTAAAAGATTGCATCTTTGTATAGTATAAAACAAAGTCGCCGGCGCTGTCTGTTCGCTTATATCTTTTATATTAGACAACGGATTTAATAGTATACAGAAATAGAGTAAATCAAGAGAAAGGTTCATATGTATAATGTGTGTAGTCTATTCAATTTTAGCTAAGATATTCCTCTCTCAGTATATAGAACCAAAAAACTATAGTTTGTTAATATTTTAGTATTAATAAATATTAAAACTTAATAGAACAAAGTTAAATATCTAAATCATGAAAAAAGATATTATATTCCAATATTTAGTTAACACAAATCCTTTAATACTTCTACATAATAAGTGTACCTAATAATAAAAATCAGGAAGAAATAAATAACTCACTTTGAAGTATAGTGAAATAAGGATATTACTATTAGAGATGTAAAATAATGTCAATAGATTGAATATAATCAATCAATTACTATTTTATAGTAAAAGTATGCATAAATATTTGACAGTTTCGTAATTGTCTAACTCATAAATAAAGCAATGTCAATTTTGAAATCTTTAGTTGCAGATTACAGACAATTGAAGCATCAATATTATAAAGAAAAGGAAGACTATAAAGTTTAAAAGGGAATATCAACTTTGAAATTTCTCTCTATATTATGCAATGAACATAAACACAACAACACTACTCTATTACTAATTACTTATGATATACTGATATATTTTCATATGTCTTATGGGTCAGTTAAAAATAATTAATTTTTAAATTTAATTAATAACTTTTATACTATGTCTTAACCATATAGGTAAGAGTATTGAGTATCAGTAATACAGATAATTTCAGGTGTTGATTTCCAAAACAATATACTCACATGATGGCCATTAAGTTGATCACAGTTATCCAAGTCTAATAGTTCTGCAGGTCTCACAACTGCTTCAGTCTCAAACTGTGCTACATCTGGCAATTCTATATCATCCATGGGCACTGGCTTCCGCGGAGACTCCGCAAGCAGCACATCACTTCCGGTCACTGAACCGGGGATGAAAACTGGTGCGTCCGGGTTCAATGGTGAACTGTTCATGTCTACTGAGCTGGTTTCCCAAGCAGACTGTAAAGACAATTAACAAAATTTAATCAGGATTTTATAGTTAATGATATAAACATTAATTGTAATGTGATAATTATTAGTTTTTTAACTTTTCATTTCTTTACTAGTACTAGTAGTTTCATGTAGGGTGTAAATAGTACATCCAAATGTGAATTATCCATCCACTCACTGTTAGACTGGATTCCAAAGAATTGTTTAATCCAGTCCAGTTATTGGAGATTACAGCATTTTATATTACATATCTGGAACATGAATATCATAAATTCTGATCAATATTTTCATGCCCCAGCGATATTTACTCACACAATAATTACATTAACAAATTTACAAATCTGTGTTCAATTAAATGCTGTAATATCCTACCTCTAGTATAGTATTTAATAAATGCAATAAGGTCAAGCTAAGCAATACCAACAAATTTGTAGCATCAATATTAATTGAAGTTTAACTGAGTTTGATAATAAGTACCAGTAATAGGCAAACAAAGAAGTTTATTTATATATAATACACCATACTATAACCTAACTGGACTACTATACAAGTTGGGTTAATTGTTATAAATTAGAAATATATATTAATTATAATAGTAAGTTTATTACTAACATTTGTTATTTTTATAATATTATTTAGTAATCTTATAGTCTATTAAAAAAAAAGTAAAATCTGACTTAATAAAGTATATACTTATCTAGATTATTCAATTTTGATGTCCTGATATACCAAGTATATTCTTTAGTCTCAGAAATAAAAAAAGTATATACCTAAAAACTATAAAACTTAGAAACAAGTGTTTTAGTTGTTACTAAAACATTTCTTTTGTGAATATAATATTTCCATAAATATTAGCAACATTGAATCATACAATTCGCAAATGAAGGTCAACTGAATAATACTGTTCTGTGTACTCATTTTCTAGAACTGTAACAGCAATCATTGTTTGTCAGAATGGTAGTCATAATAAGTACATATTAAACATGAGACTCACATTGTCCTGGCAGGGTGTTTCTGAGCGCGGTGGCTCGTCCAGATCGTCGCTAGGATTTTGTTCCTCGCGCTCACCTTCGCCCTTGTAGTAGTTCCACTCGTCTTCAGACTCTTCGCCGCTCTCAGCTACATTATCCAAAAGTGCGCCGTCAATGTGGCCCTCCTCCACTGCACAGCACAAACATTTACACTAAATCGACAGCACAAAAAACGTGGTTAAACACCTGGCCAACACGCGAAGTCACCCCTCCTATCACAATCCCAGCTATCAACAGGTGACACACCCTTGCACGACGCGAACTTATTGCTTTTACAACGAACAAATATTTCTTTGTTCCGACACTATAATGTAGGTATTACAAATTTGAATATTTATTAACGAGTTTTGTGACGTTATTTACCGGTCGCGAATTCAAACCCGCGAGACATTTGCGGACGCCATTTCGAGGACGTCCTGCGAAGACACGCCCGTGATTAAATTAAGGGAGAATCCAGAAGCCGAGTAGTTTCATGGCGTGACAGTGGATATAGCAGGAACACGTCAACGAAGGGATGAGCTTTCGGACGAACCGATCTATTTCCAGAACACCGCTCCGCATGAATCAACACAGAAATAACCTTTCACAAACTATTAGGAATGTGAAAATAATCAACAACATTTGCTAAAACTCACATACCGTAAACGGTATTTTCACTGCACAGATTACTATCTTCACCACTGGCGTAATATTCGAGCCGTAAAAATGTAGACAAAAGGCCGGGTTACAATAGCAGAGCAGTGGAATAGAGCAGCACAGACCAGACGAACGTTCAATGAGCGACTGCGAGCGAGACGGGTCGGGCGGCGCGGAAGTTGAGGGCGCGAACCGAGTGCGGGGCGGGGAGCTAGTGTAAATTCGACATAGGGATACCACATCACACTTTCCTGAATAATTCTTTAAATTTATTTATTTAATATAATAATACTAATTAATATTCTTTTCTATCACAAATATGAGGACACCAGAAATCACACTTATTTAGAAGGGACTCCAGTATATTATTAGAGTAAGTAAGAGAAAAGAAATATTTAGTGTCATTTACTACCCCTTCACAGAGCTCTCACTAAATCCACTTTCATATCTGGTCTCCACCGCAAAAGATATAAAAATACTAGTTAAATTTAGATCGAAAAACTGAATTCTTTATTTTACTTTTACATTTACCTTTTTACAAATTATGTATGAGTATTGATATAAATAAATACAAATTAAAGATTTTGCACCACAAAACACATATATATCCTTTATTTACGACATAAGTAGATACGGTCATCGAAATATTAAGCCACCAACGGAAGGGTAGTTTTAGTGATGTGTAAGAGTTCCAAAGTGTGATTGTTTAAAATATTATTTTAATATCGCAACACCGTTCGCAGATGATCGGACGCAGTCATCCTCAGTGATGTCAGATAGAGAAATTTGCTCCCATATTTTGGGGATTTTGCGACGATGGAGATGATTTGGTGTAAACAAATACTTGGCGGTATTTGTGTACTTATGTCCCATAGACTTAATCCTTAATCAGGGAGTGTGGGTGAACTTGAAACTGCCATATTTATTGGGTGTACTTTTCATCGGCAGCTTAATTTTGGGGCATTTTTGACAACATTTGAGGAAAAGCAAGACGGTCATCTGGCAACACTGATCTGTTCCCACGTACTGATATCGGAGGGACATTATCAGAACATCTAATCATCTACATACAATCCTACTTATCCTTTCATTTCGGTTAAGTAGGTACAGTGACGAGTTACCGCTTATGAACGTATGTGTACGAGTGAATGTAACAATCAATAAAGCGTGACGTGATATACCTACCTACACAATTCTTGCTTTTTCTTTTGCTCTCATTGAAATGTGGTTCACCGTGATGCTGATACATGTGTACGTTTAGAATAAATTCTATCAGTCAAGTACAATTGCCAAGTGTTACAGCGCTATGTATGTAATTAGTATCAACAACATATACATATAATTAATATCAACAACTACTTTTGGAGATAGGCATTAGCTCAAGCGGACCAGATTCTTTGACTACTTTTCTAAAATTCCTGTTAATATAAAACTACAGCATTCTTTTCGACACTTATTTTTTTTACTAATGAACAATAAAGAAAAGTGAAGTGACAAAACACAATGAACTTACAAAAAAAAGGGGTTATGAATAAGGGCTTTGTTTGTACTGCTGCATTATTGCTGTTGACTTCTGTGTCGACTGACCTGTGTGTGCGGGCGGAGTCGGGGGCGCCGGCTCGTGGTTCCTGTCTGCGTCGACGTCGTCCACATCGACCGCCGTCTCTGGGCCGAGGTCGTCGCTGTCACTGTCCGAGTTGTCATTGTCGACGCTCTCAGCGGCGCTCGACTCCAACTGCCTCTTGCACGCCTCCGCCTCCATAGCAAAGGGAGGCGGATTCGCCAGCGCGTTGTCCAGCCTAGACATATTTGCATATTTAATATAATTGACAATACATATTTGTGATAACTAACATTTTTTTTTATCTATTTTCTTATGACGTTACCCAACATAAGATGATTAAAAGCATAATGAAAATTGTTTCTGTAAATCTTACAACCAAAAATAGTCAAATTGATAACTTTTATCTTAAATTCTCCTCGGAACTAATAGGCAGTGTCAAGAATTTCATACTATTAGTACAGAGCAGTCTGGGCAAAGATGTTTTTTTTTTATGTTATTTTTGGTTTTGACAAAAAATGCCATAGTATATACTGGTGCACTACATTCTACCTAATTTAATTAAAAATGAATCTGTTTGTATTTTCGTAATCATGTACAAATTCATTTTAAAAGAATTTATTGTCAGTTCTTCTAAAGCTCGAAAGCACTTCTAACTGATGGTAGATTTAACATATCATGTTTGGAATAGACCTACATGAATAAATATATTTTGATTTGTTTTGATTGTAATAATAATAATAAACTGTCCTATTTCGGCAAGCAGCAATACATATGTGTTTGTGTGTGTTTCACCCTTCTACTGGTGAAGGGTGGAATGTGGCAGTGAAATTACAGAGCCCGGACGCATGACACTTAAGTTCTCAAAAATGACAACGCATAGGGGTAACAAGCATATATCCATAGGCATCAGATGATGAAGTGATATTGTGGTGCTTTTTGTGTCTATAGGTTACCAATTTCCATTTAGCTGGGCCGTTAACTAGTTTGTCACGTCAGTTATATAAAAAAATATAATAATATTAGTAAGGGTTCCTGTTTAATGTCCTATCTATAGGATGTAACAGCCGCCAAGGTCGAGTGTAACAAGCTGAACAAGGCAATTTAGTGTTCGCGCCGCCAGTTTTGTTACAACAGTATAAAAAACCGGTTGAAGAATCTCCATTACACATACATAAGCTAGAGTTGATCCACAAATTTTAAATGTATGACTCATAGCGAATAACGATCTGTCTACTATTCGATCATACTAAATGTAATTTATCTTTACACTTTTTTACACTGGAATGGTAAACAAGCAACCTACGTGATGGAAGTGATATCTGTATACTATATAGGTAAAGACCACAATATCATTATACCTATACGATGCCATTCTTAAGGACTCCTACGGTCATGCTTTCGTATGCTACTACTTTTGTAATAGAATCTAGTTTACTAAAGCACATAAACGGAATATTTCATCACAAACAAACTTATATTTCTCAAAAGTTATATAAATATTATTTTTATAACATACTTCGTAATTTATATAACTTTAATGCACATAATACAAAAGATAATACATACATACAAAAGATAGTACATTTGGTGGACTGAATACTTTGCGATGTTTTCTAGCCATTTCTATTTTTTATAGACATGAATTACTGCACACTCATAGATTGCAGTGCAATGAATCTTGATTCAATACAATATACATCGTTGACGTAATAGCTGATAACATACTCGTGTTTTAACTTTAGTCATTAACGCTATTTATATACATACACAAAGTTACGTCATTTAATTCTCATTAAATGTATTCTCATACGACTTCATATTATTTATGTTTACCTGTTTTGACAATAATACTACTGGAAGACATTTTCCTGGAGGTTATGTCGATATTTAAGACTAACAATACTACCGCAAATGGAATTTATGTATATACAATTATAAATAAATAAATAAATTTATTTTCGCCCTTCTAACCAATTTCGGAAAACGTTATGTTATGTTGCCAACATAGCAATAAAAATAGCCATAATAGATAGGCAAATGATCAATATTGTATAAGATAAGTTATACTCAATGAAAAAGTCGGTTTGAGATAATTATACTTTCTTTGACGACCTCGGTGGTCTAGCGGTCTAGCACACCGTTTTACGAACGATGGTTTCGGGTTTGATTCCTCGCACGGCACAAACATTTGTATTCATGAGTATGATTGTTTGTATCGGTCTGGGTGTTTTCTATGTATAATATGTATGTATTTACAAAAAAAATATCTATGTATTTGTATGTCATCTAGTACACAACAATGCGTACATAGAATGTAGTCGATGAAATTTCTGATACTTCATAATGCCATAAGTGTTATACTTATTTATAAACGACTGTAATGTACTTGTAAAACCGCACAGCAAAATAAACCGTTTTAAAATTTAGGCCCCAACAATATATTAATTTCTTTTTTCATTATAAAATTATTTTAAAATAACTATGATCACAATTGGAATTTTAGATTGATCAGTTAGGGTTATTGTTAAATCTACCAGTTGTATGTAGCTTAACATACAATTTGATAATTTAAAAAAGTAATACTGCATGGCTACATTTCGCCAATCATATTAAAATGATTAAAATTGTATCTAAGAGCAAATACATAAACGAATAAACGTAAGTGGAAGATTTCCCTACCAAAAAGAATGTGCTATTTATTTAAACAGCGTCCTTCGCGGTTCTATGTTCTAATTAATTCCTAAGACTCAGAAGATTGTCGTCATATTAATACATCATTGCCACAACATTGTCACGTGTTTATATAATTCCAACCGATATTATATAAACTTGTTATTAATCACTAATATTTCTTTAGTTCGCAACTCTATCGTAATAAAAAGTAAAGGACATACTCTTCTATTTTTTATACGATAGAGTGGTAAACAAGTTGACAACTCTGAGGCATGATTGACAAGGCTTATAACCCTATGTACAGTGCTCTTTTATTTTAGCTAACGTCCGTAAATGTTAGTTCAACTGGTGATAAATACAAAAAAGCGACCACGAATATTATCCGAAATTCCATAAAGTTTCACATAATTCATGGAATCAATTTGTGTTATCACACACTTCCTCACCACAACTTAAATTAATGAGAACATAAACAATATACGCACTGTCTTTGACGTGTTGTAAACATTAAAAAAAAGTATAATACCTGCGTTATAAGAATAAAGTATGAGCGCAGCGTTCAAGCGTATTATTATACATTAACTTAGATATGTTTTGTTTTAGGTTGGAGAATAATTTACTCACCCAAGCTCCATGGGCGGGCAGTTGTCGGCGGCGATGTCACGCGGGTCCTTCAGGAACACCACTATTATTGAAATATTATCGGCGGAACCCTGCCGCTTTGCCTGCACGATCAGATGCCTCGTCACCGCCTTCAAGTCATCTAGACAACAAACAAACAACTGTTTAATTACAATGAAAATTGTTTCTTATCTTTACATACAATTATTTCCAGCAGATAACCAAGACCAAAACAGACACCCAACAGAATTTCTCAACGGTATTATTATCTTTCCTTAAAATATCAGTGTGTCATCTAGCACAAAGCTAGTGTTGCGAAGTCTATTATGTGTGCAATTTGTTGCAGCACAATGGTGAATAATGTCGACGGATATGGAGTAACGATGTTTGTGTTTCGATTTGCTACGACGCCGACGGGCTGTATGTGAAGATGTCCTTGTTGTGTCTCAGACACATTGGTAGGTATATGAGTCAGCACCCAGTGGGCAACAGCCGGTCAGAACACACTATTGTATCCCCTATGTTAAATAAAAATAAGACTTGATAAACATGCAATTCGTGCGACCTTCAGACGACCCAATTTCGCTATACCCACAATGACATTTATGTAACAAATTATGGGGGTTAAATTCACATGACACTAATTTTAATTATTTTAGTCGACAAACGCAGACTAATGGGAGAGGCAAATTCAAACTACTTATACCAACAGCTAATCGTAAATATTTGACTATCGCGTGAATACCTATTCCACCTTATTTTGACGCGATAAATTAACCTATAAATTAGGTTGTTAGCTCTTTCATTTCGTGTTAGCTAGGCACTGGCGTCACGCCTTATTTGGGTGTGACTATGTTCAATTATTGTTTCAGTCTAATCTAGCTAATGTCTAAAAAAGTGCAAACGTTATAGGCATGTGTATACCAATATTATGACAGCACCGTATACATCTTCCGACAGAGTAACGAGCCGGCACTTTATGTAGTTGTCTATAGACACACGCCTTGACTTTACCCGCTATTTCGGGGCGCAGTTGGTGACGACATTGATGCATTATACTAGGCGGAAAATAAGAAGTATAATGCAAATAAAATGCGCCAAAGTCATACATAACTAAATAGATAACAAGACAAGTTTGCATTTTGATTCAAATTCTTTACACAAACGAATACAGAGAACCGATAACTCAATGTTTATTAACAGAATACGTTTTGCATTAGTATACATTCAACAAGTTACAGAGTGAATTGCGGCGGCAATGCCGCAATTGCAGTAGAATGGGACAACTAAAGCAAGCTCGACGTCGCCTCTAGCTTTAGACATAGTCATATAACTCAATGGCGGGCGCGTCGCGTGTCCCGCCCTTGCTTTTTACCCAGTTTGGTCTGGCTCGAAGCCAATACAGCACCGTATGCTCTTATCCGACAAGCTCAAAAAATATTATTTTTAATTTATTTATGATCGTAACAAAGTAGTAAAGGTAATTAAAGATAAGTTATGTTTAAAAATAGTTATATTTAAATTAACACTGCACGCATTTGAATGACTAACTAAAAAAATAACTTAAATCTGAATTTCGATAATACCTAATATGGCAGTGTTAATAAAATTTATTGGACATTATTGGAAAGGTAACAGTGCTCTTATGCCTGCTATTTTATGTTTAAATATTTTTAATTAATCAATGATTTCATTTGAATATATTAAAATCTATACTGTACGTAATAAAATGTAACAAAATTTTTATAATTAAAATCTAGAAAGTGCATTATTTCGAAGATAAAGAAAGAGTATAACGAATTATCGTGTCGCAGATCTTAATGATCGTCGTTAATTAGTCACTGCATAGTTGTTAAGAACAGCGCTAAAGGTATTTAAATATAGTTTATAGCATGTATTAAACAGAACATGTAAATTGAACTGAATGGTTGCTCATTCGCGCTTGCTCAGTTGCGCTTCATAAAGGTTATTAGAATTTTCATTACATTTTACTTTGTACGTCATTAAATATGAATTCAAATGACTTGCTTCTAGCTATACATATACAAAGTAATAATGACCTATACATAGTGTGAAACCTTTCATTCAACCGTTCATAGACATTCACATAGACAATTTAGAGTATCATTCTAGCAAATTAAATAAGACAATAACATTACGTGATAAAACGGAACATTTTACTAAATATACTGCACGCAAAAAACAATGGACGTTCCATGAATTTTAATAAACGTGGTAAGAATGATCATGATCAGACTCATTGTAATTTCACATGATTGCAGTGCAACATCTCATCTTGGCTGAGTGGCCGCGTACGATCACACAGCGGGCAGCGGGCGGTGCGGCAGCGGTGCGGCAGCGACGCGGCAGCAGTCGAGGTGATCATCGCTACGATTATTGCCGCTGAGTAACGGTGCGCATGGAATGCGCTGTCGGCCATTGTTCCCGGCTACTCGCTGCAAAAACGGATCACGGCCTGTCCGCGCATACTAAACCTCGATGCCCTCGATGCACCTGCAGTCTTTGATAACAACAAACGATGATGTCGTGACTGGAGCTCATACCACAGATTGCTAAATGTGTACTCTAAATCTTAAGGACCCAAACAGAGACCTAGTAATACCTAAGTAATAATAAAATCATATGGTATACTAAAGTCATACCATTAAAAATGCGTACTAATATTTTTCCTTGGATAACTGAAGTACTGAGTACAAACTTCAAAAGCGCCTTCTTAATATAAATACGTATAATAATTTAAACAACAGTCATTAAAAGAATATTGGTCGTTGTAATGTAAGAAAACAATCTTGTAGATGCGGTGATTTTCATAATGATAAATAATGTACTGTTATTCGGTTGTACAATAGACATAAGCTAAATGTTTAAACTAGAATAGAGTTTATTCGTTTTTGCTATCTAAGTCCATTATACGGTAGACAGACACGTGATTATAGTGGGAAATAGAATCGGAGAGCAGACTGCATAATACAGCGACGGATCAAGTGCAATTTCCCGGCCCGCACGTCCGTTCTCAATCGCTCAGAGATCAACACCATTCGTTCAAATTACAAATAATTCCATATCTCCTCCCTTTTGTGGCTTTATTAATAATACCTAGATTTTATATCGTATATTTTTAAATGTTTACTTCAGTAATAATTGTTGTTCAAACTGAAAAATTTGTCTTGTAAACCCTGTCAAACTATTTCCTCTACGAATATGAGTATTACGGATGAGGATTATTGCTTTCAAAGATATTTTTTTAAAGTTAATGTTTAGATACTGTACTAAACATATTTGAAGATGTTTTGATGTGAATGTTTAGAAATATCTACTGAATCCGCTCACTGAGGTATGGTATTGCTGACAGTTGACATTTTAACACTTTTTTACTGTAAATGCTGAAAAAACTAAAATGTCACTATTAATGTTTCTTCATACTTTCATAATTAGGTATATGATATTATAACTATAACTACTCCAAATACATATAAATATATTATGGTGTAAGTTGTTAAGGAGTAGGAGGACTAAAGAAGACATACAATGATATCTTCTTTGTTTTTCTTAAGTTTTGACATCAATAAAATTAAGATTGCAAAACAGATTCAGTAACACAACAGTCATAATCAAAACATCGTACTCAATCCTAAACGCCTATAAATAGGATAGAACTAAAGTCCATTAAAAACCAAAACTATAGATTTTAATATAGTTACATGTTCATAGTTATTTCATTCCCAGTTATTAAAGGGGCGTACAGAAGCTAGCTCCTTAACTGAAGCACGCGTCTACCCACCCCATCTCTACCGCCCCCCTACCCACAGTCCTAACTTTGCAAGTGATTCAACTTTTGCAGTCAAAGAGAATTACTCTGTACCTAGCTCATATTATGTACCATAAATATGTAAGGTATCTTTAGCAAAATCTTCATATAAATCATATTCTTAAATAAAAAAATGAAAATTTAAAACTAGAATGGTAAGTGGTCTACTACATATTATTACCTCTAAAGCAACATACTTAGAAATATAATGCAATATACGTCTACTTTATTTCCCGCAGATGCTATGCTATGCTAGCCATTGAAAATTAAATCAATCATGGAATTCTATTATGGCAAATAATGGAGTGTTAGACGAGTAATGTACAATGTGAATGCGAGTATTGAACCCGACGCCGACGCTGCGGTCTAAGCGTCAAAATACCGACAATTTAATTACATCATAGTTCTATTACAAATACACTAATACCGCTCATTAATATTATCTTGCTAACATTGTTCCAATCAACACCTGACAAACGTGCCTAAATTTAACTCAACTGGCAGGGCTGTATAGTGTTAATTATATGAACGCAAATAAGCCTCTCAAGCGTAAAAGTGGCAAGGGGAGACAGATATTTACAGACGCATTATCGTACGAAAACAAACTTGACGAAACTACTTAGAGCAAGCTGTCTGTCAATTGATATAGACCTAAAAGCTTACTCGTGATAAAGTTTTCTATTAAACCGCTAAAGATATTGGTATCAATTTAGCATTATATTATCTAGAACTTACTTATAGAATCAAAGATATGAAATTTATGCCGTGACAAATAAGTTGAATGTATATGAAATCTATTGTAGCTAAAACATGAGAGTCCCTTCAACAGGATTATCCTGATTGCAGATATATATGCATACCCATTTATACAAGATTTTTAGCATATAGGAATATTACGCCATTTATACCGATATTCAATAGGTCTTTTATATATATGCTACTCTAATTACTAGTGTGCACACCGAAGCGTAATGAAATTGAGTGAGAACTTTCGTGCACGCTCGACGTTCATCAGTAGGCCGGTAATTGGTTTGCAAGCGGACGAACATCGCTCGGAAGAGTTATACGATGCTGTGCGCCAGGGAATCCTTCTAATTAACGGTCGTAGTAGGTCGTAGTACCTGCCACCTATACACTACTATACAATTTTTAATTGGAAGGCCCATTGGTTCGTTCATGCTGCATTTTGCATTACCATAAATTCAAGTTACAGTTACAACTGCACTTGTTTCAGTTTCGAAATTTCTTTCCTTTCTTTTAGTAATTTAAAAGTAAGTTCTGTTGTTAAAAACTGTTTAGAAGCAAACACAGAC